GTGGGGCTGTGACGTCATTGACACGTGCGGACCTGATGGGAATGGACATCATTCGGAGTAACACAACATAACTGCTGTTATGTTTGTTATGTTGCCCCGCCCTCCCGTGCGTCCTATTGTGTGTCTGCCTCTGTCTCTCTTTCTCCTCTCTTCAAACTTCTACTATTCTCTCTGCCTCCATTATCACATTTTTTTTTAACTCGGTACTCTTCTTTCTCTTATCATGTTTTATTTGTCTGACTACCACTTTGTCTCCCTTGCAAACTCTCTCACCTTGGCTTATCGCTCTTTTCTTCTTTGTATATACACTCTTTTCCCTCACTTTTCACTGTTTTCATTTTCACTATGCCTATCACCCATTCTCTTCCTCAATATTTCTGCATGCCTCTCCGTTCATCACTTCAACTCCCGGTTTATTTTATTTTATTTATTCTGTACCCTGTTTCCGCATGCTGTCATTTATTTTCCCCTACACACATGTCCCCCTGTTATCTTTTCTCTTGGCCCTATTTTTATTTTATCTTTAAACCCTTTTCTCCCAATCCCATTAAGTCTTCCTATCTCTGAAACACTCTTATTACCTTTTTGCATTTTCTTCTCTATCTCCCCTCTCATTTCGGCACTAACTTTCCTCCCTCTATTATATCCTCTTTCTCCTCCCTTCGCAATCACTTTCCCCTGACCCATTAATTTCCACTCCGTCTTATGTCTCTCTTCATTTCTCCACCTCTTTCTCTGTCTTTTTCCATCTTTTCCACTCTTGTATGTTCGCTCTCCAAAATCTCTCCCTCTTTTCTTTTCCTTTTTTACCCTATATATTTTATGTCACTTCTCTATTACTCTCCCTCCATATTCCACTCTTTTTCACTATCCTACATCTCCCACTCTCTCCCTCCATACATTCTATCATCTCATCTCACCCTCCCTTTCCTTTACTCTCTCGCCGCATTCTCTTATTCCACTTCTCTCCCTCTCTCTTTGTCTGCGTCACGTCCCGTCCTCTTGGTTGTTCTCTCTGTCTCTGCTTTCCTGACACCACCTGCCCACCTAAATCCTGGTGACTGGGGCTCAACAACATCGGGCTCGATCTGCCCTCCTCCCACACTCGTCCTGTGCGCCACTCGACCCCCCAGAACCCGGGTAAACCTAGCGGTGCTCAAACTGAGCGAGCTCGGGACGCTAGACAAACTCAAAAACAAGTGGTGGTACGATAAGGGAGAGTGTGGTGCCAAGGACGCCCAGAGCAAGGTGAGTGTTGTGACCCCACGCCACCACGGGGCTTGAGGCGCATCTCAAGGGGTGGCCAGGTGGCTTTGGCGGGGGAGAGCTCTGATAGTGGCAGGACCATAGGGGGAAAAGGGGGCATTCTGCCTCCAGAAACATTGAGGCCATGGTAGAGTGGGTTTTCATGCAACGGTGTGATTAACATTAGAGACTTGTTGCTCCAATCTAGCCAATCAGTCTTTTTACTTCTGCAAATCAGAGAACCAGGTCAATATCCCAGCTAATCTGATGCAGGTCACTCTTTTTCCATCGAATTAGATACCAGGTCACTCTATCTCATTGAAATAAGTAGGTGGTCCGAACCCAGTCTCCAGCCAAGTCTCAATGTTGATTTTAAAGCTAGGTATTTTGGAGCCGAGTCTTAAGACATTACTCCTGAAAGCTGGTCTCCTGGATGCAAGTCTGAAGATGAAGATGCTAATCTTCAGACCAGGTGTCTTGGAACCATTCCCCAAGATCTTGAACTTGTTTCCTGAGATGAGTCTAGAGACACTGATCTTGAAACTTGGGCTCCTGGAGCCAATTCTTGAAATAATGACTTGGAAAATGCAGTTTTGTGGATTCATGACGTGCTGGATCTGTGTCTTAAGCTGATTATAGTATTTGCCAGTCTACTGTACCAGTAGCCTTGGTTCAAATACGGGCAGCCACCAGTTTAAACCTAGTTACCTTTGTCTATCAAGATTGATGGTCAGTCTGCAAAATCATCTAATTTTACTCATTGTATTTTACATTTGACTTGACTTGTGCAGCATAGAGGGCTGAATTTGCAACGTGGAATGGTAGCCTATCCTACATACAGTACATACATTGTTCACAAAGATCATTGGGGAAAGAGTAATGAAAACAATTAGAGATCGACCATACACTGGAGCAAGCAGAGTGCGGGAAAGGTTTCCCACCATCGAGCAAATACACATACTGTGAATCAGATAAGTGAATAGACGAATGAAATTCAATTATCTTTGAGCCTTGCATTTTTAGGCTAGGAAAGGGCATTCTAAATTGATGAGAGTCAAAAGTTTAAGTCAATCACCGAGGCCTGAATAAAATATATTTAGAAATAAAAACTATGAGTATATGAATAATGTACCAACATACATACTAAGAGTTGGACAAGGCTACATGCTTTAAAAAAAAGTTATTCACCGTGACAGAATGTATTTGCTGAAAACTGTACTGGAGAATCGATGCATCGGTATGAATAGAGAAAACATTAACCATCATAGTTGTTGACGACAGCCATTGTTATGTTCGATGAGAATAAACTACAGGAAATGTTATAATAATGTAATAAATTAAATCTGACCTTGAAAAATAACGTCCCAATGTACCTCAGGAATTTTTTTTTAATCCGTGCGTTGCACAATTGGGATGAATTTACATACGATTCAGAATAATGTTCATTCATTGCAAAAAAAGAATAGTTCAAAAATAACCATGGGGACAAGCCTGCTTTAATCTACATTGAGATATGGAAAGAGTAATGGGTGGGTTATAGAACATACATTATAAAATAATGATACAGAGAACCTTCTAAAACAAAACAATTGCAGGTTGATCACATGATTTAAACTGTTAGGGAAATTAAATGGGCTTGGGCAGAACACGTCATGGCTGGCAGGAATGATGGACCATGCTCAAGAATAATGATGGATGATAATGATTCGGTAGTGGATTGACAATGGCTTTTTGGTGATGAGGTGCGTGAGTCGCTATCAACAACAGTGTGCAAGAGCACTGTCTCACAGTTGCGATTAATGAGGCAGTTTGTTGAGGAGGCACTCGTTGGTTGAGAGTTGAGGGCACAGCAGATTGGTTCAGTGGTCTTTTTCGGGGTTTTACCATTTGGTGACGCATACCATGCTGCCCAAAGAGTCGATGGATCAGGTGTTTTGCCACCACATGACTGTGATCCTAAATTGCACAATTGGGATGAATTTGTAAATCATATGATGCAATTTGAGTAATGACACAGATGAGCGCAGGTCATGAATCCCGGTTTTGCAAAATAGACAGTGTGGGCTCTCACCCAGTCAAAGAAACACATGATTGAGTGACGTTGGTTTGTATTTCTGTCTGTGTATAGCTTGTGTTGTGACACAAGGCAGGACAATTGAAATCTGGCTCAACAGTGATTCAGCCACAACAGACTTTAAAGCATATTTATTGAACTGTACATGTAGTTTTTCCATAACTTAGGCATAGTTTTAAGCTCATCTTTTTGATGAGTCCCTTAAGCTGGAATGAAAAAGTGTAACCTCGTCTTGTGTAATCCAGTTGCATTTTACAATATTGTTCAATTCTCCACAGGAAGCATTGTCCCTCGGTGTAAATTCTGTTGCTTGTATTACATAACACACACTATTCTGGCCAATTACTTTGTCCAAATGCCACTCTCAGATGCCCATAATCCATTAAAATTGCGGATTACTTGATGATTGCGCTGCTATTCATATTTTGTGATAACAGACGCCAGGAATATGTTCCTGCTTATGCTATGCCCTTTGACCAAATGAGTCTGAATACAACCAATATCGGAAAGTAAATAGACCCGAGCCTGTGACAGGTTGTCTTAGTTGGCAGCAGGGCTCTGTGTGTACAGCAAGGTCCAGCTAAATCCATTATTATAAATCTACTTTCTATACTCCTACGTGTATGCTTTACCACCATCAACATACACTGAGCATCGTGATAAAGTATAGTCAAACAACACGATATGGGGAAGCCCTCATGCATGTTATCTGGTCTGCATTTGGCAAGAAGTTTATGACTTGTACAAACATTGTAAATAATCACACAAAAAGCGGTCAATGTTTAGTGACCTATGAAGGGCAGTTCATCTTGGATCACATCGACAATGACTGCCCAATGGAAACCATGAATGGTGGGATGCATTGGACAATCAACTCCTTATTCTCTGCTTCGTGAATAGCATAAGATTAACTGTCAGCTGGCCAGAGTCAGGCTATAACGGGACGTGTGTATGTCACAGATAATGTAACATGCAACTGTACTGTTGGCAACAAGCAACAATGTTTACAGATGCATATGTGAAGCAGGCGTGTTTGTGCAACATTTGTAGAGTCAACTGCATTGCTTGTGACAGGTGCACTGTAAATTCACCTTGAAAATTCTACGGAGACTCCTTGTGTCACCACATTTAAGCGAGCTTGAATTGCATGCTGAGTTAGAGAAGAAATGGGGTTTTAAAGCATTGAATTCACACCTGTTTCTCATGTTTCCACCCTTTTATTTGTCCATCTGTCTAAGTGTCTCCTGTATGTGCTGTTATATTTACACACATCATCTGGTCCGTGTCTCTTCTTCTGGTGTCCACCTGGTCATCTACTCATTGTGTGACCCATTATGTGTTCTATCCCATCCTTGTCCACTTGTCCATGTGGTGTCTTGTGTGTCATCCCTATTTTGCCACCAATGGAATCCGCATTATGTGATGTCTGTGTGCCCACCCATGGGCACACACATTCTGTCACGCCTGTGTCCACCCTATCTGTGTACCTCCACGGTTCTCTGCATGGCTCTACTTTTCCACCATTTTCAATTCTGTGTCATCCCCTGTGTCCGCCACTCGTGTATCGCCTTATCGTGTCCACTCCCACCTTGCATCACTTGGTCGGCCCCGTGCGTCGTCCCGTATTATCGTTCCCGTCCGTGCGCCCATCGGCATGCCACACCGTGCATGTCGCGAGCAGGACAAGACCAGCGCTCTGAGCCTGAGCAACGTGGCCGGCGTCTTCTACATCCTCGTCGGGGGCCTTGGCCTTGCCATGCTCGTGGCGCTTGTGGAGTTCTGCTGCAAATCCCGCGCCGAGGCCCGCAGATACCAGGTCCCCCTCCCTCGCTCATTCGTTCACACATCGATCTAATCATTCTGTTGCTCATTCACTCAATTGAAACCCACGTCGGGGCCTGCAGGTCGCAGGCCTATCAATTCATTCATTTTGTGCACATTCCTTTACCTTGTTAATTTACAGTGAAACCTCTTGGCGCCGGACTAATACTTGCAAAATGATGTGATTTAAAGAACATTTACACATAATTAAAATCCAACATTAAAAAAAGCACTTGATAACAGTTGATTACATTTTAACAACTAATTATTTACAATGTAATGACATGTAAGACTCACAACTATATTGTTTAATCTAAGTCACTTGCTATCACCATGAATGAAAGATTGAACGCCTAGGTTCATTCTTTGCAAAAGAGTAGTTGGTGTATGGAATATATTTTGTCTTTAAAAAAATGCTTGTTAAAAAGTGATAGCACTCCCAGAGCATGTGGATGGCTGAAGAGGCATCCAAGGGTACTACACTGTCACTCTCTCTGGTTTTTTTCTTACTTTTATTTTCTTGACTATTTCTTTTTTCATTAAAGTATGCTTTTCAAAACAAATAACAATGTAAATAATTACAGTCATACCTCTGTTAACGACTCCTCAGGGAACGAAGCTCATTTTAAACGAATTTGGCCATGGTTGGACCCTTTGACCCTCTATATTTGCAAAAAAATATCGAAAACATTAACAAAAAAAATCGAAAACTAATTTTTGAACTTATGAGAAGCATTTCAAAAGAGTAAAAATCGAAATGCTGTGCGCACCCTGTAGGCACAATCCAGTGAGGTTTGGTTATATTATCAGCAGCCATTCAGCGGCATTCTTCGCTAGACTTCCCTCTGCTGCCCTCCATTGCTCGAGCAGTCCACCTTAAAGACCATTGTCAACCAAGCGGACAAAGTGAAGGCTTCTGTGCACCAATGTTTTCCTATTGTACCCCCCTTCTCTGAACTCCTGGAACGCATCCCTTTTCCTCTGGCAAAGAAGTTTCTGACAACGAAGAGACACCATGGAATGCATCTACTTCGTTAATAGAGGTATTACTGTAAAAAACAAGAATAATTTATCAACAAAACTACTGTTACCGGCAAAGCTCTTGGCTGTCGCCTTATGCATGCAGACAGACCGCGGAACCGATATGCACGGCTTTATTAGCACGCAAACCGCATTCTGCTCTGAGTTGTGTTTTTGGTTTCTTAAAAAATTTCGAGGAGCCTTCCTGGGTTACTTTGATTTGTTACCCAACTCAAATCCGACTTCCGAGAGGTTTTGCTCGACTCGTTCACATTAACACCCATACTGAATTGTACAAATAACACTATTTAATTAACCTAATCATCCACTTATTCAGCCATTAACTCATTAAAACACCCATTAATTAATTCATGCACTCATTCCACATAACGTGAAGGGGGCTGCATGCTGTGTGTGCGCCATGTTCTCTTGACCCGCGGCGTGTGACGTGGTGGTGGTATTTGTCGCGGTTGTGCTGCAGGTCAGCTTTGCGGAGGCCTTGCGGAACAAGGCGCGCCACTCAATCACCGGCAGTGTTGGTGGCGGGGAGGCCGCGCGCTTCATGCCAGGGGGGGGGATGTGCCCCCCTGAGCTGCCCCCAAAACTGGCGCTCGTGCACCCCCAGCCCCTGCCGCCCCCCGCCTCCCCACCACCCTTCACATCCCCCGGCTCCCTACATACGTCCATCAGTGCTCAGCAGCAGCATCAGTCACAGCAGCAGCATCAGTCACAGCAGCAGCATCAGTCACAGCAGCAGATGGACTGAATAGGAGGCAGAGGAGCTGCAGTGACAGCAGCTGGAGCCGGGGGTTGGGGGGAGGGAGGAGGCATTATGGCAGCATCAGAAGTGGCAGGACCAGCTAGTGTTGAACGAGTACCTGTGGAATTGGCTGCTACAGCAGGTACAGGAGAGGTTGCAATATGTGTATCAGCTCCATCATCAGCAGCAGCAGGACTGACAGTGGTTGGATGTAGTAGCGGTGGCATCGGTAGCATAAGTTGGGTCACAAGGTGGTGGAGGAGGAGATGTCGAATCAGTGGTGACAACAGCAGGAATAGCAGAAGAATTGGAAGCATTGGTGTAGCAGGAGCAGTTGGAAAAGAATACGATCAAAGCAATAGGAGTGTCTGGAACAGTATAAACATTGACAGAGTAGCAAAACTTACAGGAGTTCTAATTACACCAACAACTACAGCAGGCATATCAGCAAGCAGCAGGAGCTGCAGGACCAATGGGAGAGAGAGAAGTTGTACTCATATCAGCTGATGCACTGAGAAGTGGAGGAACAGGAGAAGGAGGAAATGTTGGACAAGTATACAGAAAACAAGCAGGAGGTAGTGGGGATATTGCAAAGGGAGGTATACTGACAACAGTGGGACTTAAAAGGAGCAGTGGCATCTGAATATATGGCGGAATTGTGAGTGCGGGTAAATCTGCAGTAGTAGCGGCATGTGTAAGAGGATAACAGTAAAAGCTTTGACAGCAACATTGGATGCATTCTCGGGTGGCAATAGCAGCAGATGGATGAGGAGGGGTTGCAGCAGGTATTCTCAGCAACAGGCTAATAGCAACAACAGCAACTGTTGGCCGAAATACAATTATTTGCATTGGTGGCTGTTGCAGCCACTGCAATAAATGGAATAACAGCAGCAGAGTCAGGAGCGATAGACAGAGGGTCCCAAACCCAACATGGACTTCAAGGAGTAGAAGATGAGAGAGGGATCTCTGTTTAACACAAACGAACGAGAGGGGCTTCAGAAAGGGAACAAGTGATGGGAGCAGAACTCCTGATCGAACTGAGATGGTACATAAGAGAGAAACACAGGGAAAAAAAGGACTCTAAGCCATCTGAAGAACCTAGAGTGCAGACTGAGGCTTAGGGAATGCACGATTTGCAGAGAAAGAGCACATTCCTGCACCACCAGGCGACCTAAAATTAGTAAGTAAGTCAGAGGGCATGAGAGTGGAGCACTTGCTGTTCAATCAGGAGGGAAAACAAGGGCGAGGTGAACCATCCTGTTCTCATCATTTGATGCCATCCCCTTGGATTCGATTTTGTCCAGGGGGTTGCTCATCCAAATGTTGACATACCCTGGTATGTCTCACCCCGCACCTTGTGTTGTAAAAGCCACGGGTGGGAAGGGTTTTTTTTTTACGAAAGGCATCGCCGAAACTAAAATTGGTTACCCAGGTGCCGCACGAGTAATTTTGTTTTTAATTGGCCACGTGTTCAACAGATGTCGAGTGGATGGAGCATTGTTTCTGAACAATGTATTGACTTAAATTAATGGATCTGGGAAGTCGATCCTTGCAGATTCGAATGGATCATGAACACTGCCGTGATTCGATTGTGTGTGTGAATGTAGAATGTTGGTAGACTTTCTTCTACAGGATGCGCCATGCATTGGAGAGGCCGGCCCTCTGACTGCTGTGTCACATTGAGACTGCCACGCAACCACACTACCATTTGTTGTGACACTGTCCTGTGTGCAAATTTGTTTATCATATTTGTATGAGTTAAAAACAAAAGTATCAACCATTTTCTTCTTTCGGCTTTATTGTCATAGGATTAGTTGAATAAATTACAAATTTGCCACTGGCTAATAGACACAGAGTTAAGCTCTTTGATTCATTGCGGATTCGTCCAATAAAACATGCATGCATTGTATTGTGGAGTTTACCACAAGTTATGTCTTGAGACTTAACTGCTATCCTGCTTTTCTTATCTGATACAAAGCCCTGTCTCTAAAACAGAGCTAATATTTTCTTAGGGTGTCTTTGCTTGTCTCACAATATTTATAAGTTCCACCAAATTCTATAATTTATCATTCCTGAAAATTTTTTTAAATGTGTTTTAAATGTATAACACTACTACTGGAAATTGTTTTCAATATGGAGAACTTTCAATGCGTTAACAGCTCTATCAGAATCTCCAGTGCTAAGTGTAGGCAATATTTGATCCGTTGCCTGCACTCATTGCGGACCACTCGAACTCACCGTGTCTCACACGAGTTGGCTGTAGGTGAGCTGTAAACATCCGCTGATCCTTCAAATGCCACCTTAGGCATTAAGTACAACCTCCACCAATTACAGTGTTACCCAGTTGGGGTTGCATCACTCCCCTACTGTCACACTAAGGCATGTTTTGCAAGCCAGATGCTTAGTTCACCATATGCCCCCAGGCACAGCTGCCAATGGTGGTTCCGTTTCAAAATGTTCTTCATGAGATCTGATTTTACAATGCTGAGATGCCTTGGCACATAGGGCGCTTTATCATAGGCGGCTATATCAGAGGGCGTGATATCAAAAGCATTTTTACTGTTGCAGTTACATTGTTACACGACTTCAGTATCCTCTTTGGCCATGTTGATTCGCGAGCGATTCACTCTGTGCCTATCTGCCAAATCGGCCCTCGGAAATGGGCTCAACTGGACCAAGCGTGACACCAAGTTCTCGTTCTTTTCTAGTCTAACTCGTCCTAAATCGTTTTCTTCAGACACCAGAGTTATGAAGGCGTGTGGGCCTTGGTTGATGTACTCATGATATTGTTTAACTCGCTCGAATGTCTTCTTCGTTTGCTGCATCTACGTCTTGTCAATGTAAGATTGAAATGACGAAGGAAAATGACAATGGCAAGCAAAGTGTCTTTTTTTCATTTGTTGGAGATTGTGACTTTTTAAGGCTTATGATAATTAAATATAATGTGATACTTTGTGTTTCATGAATTGGACCAAAAATGAAGATCCTGAACTCCTATAGGTCTACGCAGCTTGAAATGTCACCAAAATTGGCTGAATCTGAAATGTTTACCTGCTCTTGGTCAACTCAACATCAGCTCCGTCTGAAATTACCACAAAGTAAAAAACCTTCCCTTGGTCAACTCAACTGGATTTGATCGCCTGTCAACCAATGCATACTTGGCTCAGCTTATTGATTGGTAATCACTGCACAATGGTTATCATTTTTGATAATTTGTTTACCAATAAGGGTCAATAGTTAAGTAAAATGAATGTTTAAAAACAGCACACTGAACTAAGAAGCTCCAGCGAATGCCTGCGAGGAGATTGTTGCTGATGTTTTCTGAAGAGATGCTGGGAAAAAAATGTTATTGCAAAAAATGAAATATTTGGAGCCATACATGGCGTGGGCCACTTACCGCGCGAAGCGCAAAACCTGTGCCATTTGGAGCTGGAGCTGAAGTGGAAGTGGACACAATGTATCATAAGCAACAAGAGTGTGGCATATGACCAGCATATGGATGGATCCTCCATGAGCCCTTCAAGTTAAACATCCAGCTCAAAGTGCGCTACATTACCCACTGTTGTGCGAGGCTCTTTGGCTCTGAGACCACAAGTCTATTTTGCAGGATCGGGGGATTGTCGAAAGAGTCCTGGCTATCAGCTTTGTAATTTTGACACTCAGCTCCAGGAAACCGTATTTATGAATTGGAGTTTTTAGATTTGGTTCCAAGAGACTGGATTTCGGTTGAATATCTTGGAGATTGGCTCCAGGAGACTGGGTTTGTGGATCACAGTCTTGAGATATCTCCAGGAGATTCGGTTTCATTGTCTTAAGTTTTTTTTTTGACCGGTTTTAAGAACAAGCAGAATCACTAGTTTTGTTTTTACTGTCTTAAAAAGGAAAGCACAACCCAAAAAACTGCTTCATTTTGTTTAAGATCAAATGACAATAGCCATTTACAGTAACGTGAACATTTGTTTATCTGAATACACAACTGAAGATTTACGAATTCTAATCCAGCTCCACCTAAAATTCTGGATTTTTGAATGTCCAGTTTTCCTGAGCATCCCCACTTAGCACGTGCATCCCGATGTAACCACTCGGAGGCTTTGACATAATTAATGGCGGCAAATGTATACTGGGAGACTTATTGTTGCCATGAATTGATAAAGTCTGATGCCTCAATGTGCAAAATGAGTGGGTTTAAATTTAAGAAAGAATGTGTAAATGTATCGGACACGTGTATTGATTTCCCTGATTTCTGCACAGACGCCCCATCACTCTGTAATGCATAAATCATGCTGACATGGCATAACATTTTAAGATTCAGGCTTCAACCTTAAAAATTTACTCAAAAAGGATGTACTTTATAAATAAATGATACAAATGTGCGTTGGATGAGCCAGGATACACACCGCCTTAAGTGGTGTCTGCAATAATCAACCGTGCTTTGGGTTGTGCCTTCCTTTCATTCAGCCTGTTCGCTGAGCCGTCATCATCAACCAAGTTATTTGAATAGCTTGTCCAATACATTGGTGATATTGATTACACATTGTTGTCAGACCTATTTGTGCAGATTGTGAGAATATAATTTAGGATTGCTAATGATATGTTTTAACACTTTGACTTTACTAGACTTAGTGTTACCATTTGTCAGGTGTAAATTGTGTATTGTTAGCTTTCAGTTTGTTACGGCTTGGTGGCTGCAGCCATCACGTCTGAGACAAATGATCACGCTGTTACAGAAGTGTGAGATTTCAAACTTGATTTACGATGTGGATTCTGGAATCATCTATCGTGGTGACTCTTTATTCCGAGTGAAATATGTTCACGTGATTGGCACTTTGGTGTTTTGTGTGGCTGGGTGGACCGAGTGGGTTGCCTCCTTACCACTGAGCCAATTCACACGCGGTCAATAGGTCGATTCCTGCCACAGCTGCCCAGTACGAGACAATTATTAAGTTCTGTTCTCTTCTGTAAATTGGACAATACCACGCGGAATGAATAATTGTGCCATTGTGTTCCTTTGGTGTCAGCACATTTAGCTTCATTTAAAATCATTAAATAAATTGTGTAAAATAAGATCTGTCCCTGCGTGATCGACCAACTTGATCTTCAAGTTGCCGAGTTGAGCCATCACATCGTCACTCCTCCTTCCAGGTTGACAGTTAAATCGTAATGGAAGTGAGACAATTGGTAAAGTTGGTCGGTTTATCTCAGTAAAAGGCAAATGAAAATGGAACTAAACTATTTTTTTTATTTTACCAGGTAAGGCCCACTGAGTTATATAGATATTTTTCAGAAGCGACCTGACCACAAATGATAGCTCAACGAAGTGGCCTATGTGGAAATATATAGCAGCCAAATACTATAAACGCAGGTTTCTAAATATGGAGGGGAAAACCCAGAGGAAAATCCACGTTTCCAAGGGCAGAACATGCAAACTCAAAATATACAGGCGTCAGGGTCGGGATCGAACCCACGCGCCCCTGTATACCAGGCGAGGTAGTAAACATTTCGCCACAGTGGAACGCTCAATGATGTCCACACAATTTTCCAAACGTTTTGGTAAAAACGATCATGTGTGGGGCTGAGATTGTGAATTGTGTATCGAGGTCTCGCAAAGCCCAAACACCCTTTAGTATGCATCTTCATCATCTTCATGTGAAGGACCCGGTAAATTAAATATCATTTTATTTCATGATCAAATTAAATGGAAATCCTCCAGCATCATACAAACCAATGACAGCCCACTTAGGGTAATACCTTGCAAGGTATACCTGGGTACTGCTGTTAGTTCTGGAGAGTATACATTACTGTTGTTAAAATACTGCATTATAATTTACTTGAGTCATTTTTAAATCGTGGATGTTTCTAAGATGTGGCACTACAAAGGTTCCGTTCTTATGAGTCACATCTGTTGTGTTTAATACCCACTTAATATCTAATAGCATCCTTCATAATAATAGTAACAATAACATGACCCCATTGGCCGGCTGTAATGGAAATCAAACCTTCGACCACATCCAAAGTGGTTCAGTGATGAGTGACAAAACCTCTACATGCACCAAACTGTTTAAACAACCTCATAATCAAGATTGATTCTCATATCGTTTCATGTGTAACGGAACCTTGACACCGTCCTCTTTGTCATGTGGTCCAGCAAGGCACATTTGTTAGAAAATGGATGTTAAAGCGTTTCTGTCCATATAATAATGCTTCCAATTAGCAAATTAAAAAGAAAGACTAGTAATCTAGATTTTCTAAAAATTGCAATGTTAATGTTTGACTGGTTGTGGTGTTGCCAACGGGGGACATTTATGTGCCCAGTAACTCATACGTCACATGGAAAAGAGTCTTAAATGGTCAATCCTGGTAAGAGCCATGATAATGAGAGATGCTTACCTGCTGGACCAAAATGTAATACCATCATGTTCCTAACCTTGCAGGTTAGTGAATTTAGAGGTAAAATTCTAACCAACCGATATAACAAACAGATGTCTGACATCCCTTATGTGTGCTTTTCTCTGAGCATTATGGGTTCGTCACAAAAATGAAAATATTGACAAAACATTATGAGAGGATCGTGCTGAGAGTCATGGATATTCAGTGATGGTAAATATAAGTGTTGTGCCATTCAAAATTATTATTCCCATAAAGCATTTCAACTTTACACATTATTTCTAACTTTAGATGTAGTTACGCTGTGTTCACTGTACATCACTCTTTTTGCTGGATCGGCGCGTCAAAATAATACCTCTAAACTTAGAATAGTCAAACTAAGATAACCTATTGAGACCATTTAAGGGGATAGTTTGTGGGAAAAGCTACATGGATGCTTTTGTTATATATATTTAGCATTTTCCCTTTAACAAGTTAGATACTCTTTCTCAAAATACCCTCACGGAGTCTTCAATATTTTTTAAATCCTTTATATTAAGTTCACTTGCTTGCTTGCTTAGGACCGTGCAAATCTTTCGGTCGTTTTTTAACCCACTTCCCGTGATCCAATCGAGCTGACATTTTCCACACAGACTCATTGTGCGTGACAATTTATGTTCGTGAAAAAAAAATCCAAAATTTTACACTTTTTAGGACAAAAATATATTTAATTACCAATTGCTTAATGCTGCCATGCAATCATCTGACCCATAGGTGGCAGCCATCTCAAGCCAGAGGACGAGAGGACTCTAGCCGCCACGCATATAAAGGATTTATAGTGAAAGACTTTGTTTTTACGGGTTATACTTGTTCAGTATGGTCTAATGTTCCACCAAAACCAATTTCTTTTTCCAGACACAAACTATTTTTCAGTAGACTTCTTGTTATCCACCACTCTTCATCCACAATTCTTCCTGCTCACGAGAATCAACAAGGATTCAGAGACAATGCTACTTCTTAAACTCCTCAGTCACGTTACACAGTTTTGCATGGTTTGCCATGATAAACACCACAAATAACTCAGGAGACAAGCAAGTTTACTGCAGATGCATTATTTCAGTAGTTAATATTAATTATTAAGCTCAAGATGCATACACCCAGTCGCATGGGTGAGGATCAATATATTTTTTATTTTATGTAGTGGGGGTCACTTGACACTTCCAGCCACAAGAGACCATTACATTTACAACAATGTTAAACAAGAGCAGATTATTTCATTACCCTGAATAGTGACAATTCATTTAATTGCGTGGGGGGGGGGGGTATTACACCATTGTTTTCAACGTATTTTGTGTGTGCTGGTGTGAGGTTTTGTCATTTAGTTCTCACTAACCGTACTTGTACAGTTTTAACAAGCTAAGTGGATGCCCTTCGTCAGTAAGATGTAAGGCCCACGCAGCTACAATGTCAAAGATAAATGGTCAGAGATCTGAGCCATTTCATGTCCTTCAAGAAGTGCATTCATGTTGTCCACTTGCTCCGATGCTTCTCAATCTCTTCATTATTTGGGGAGGGGGAGTGTCCTTCCAGGCCTATACATATATATAGGATATAGGATCTGCTAATCAGGCTCGGGTACGCCTAGAGATGATTCCGGGTCACCCAGTCAAATGATGTAACCAATGGTTTGTGATTGAAGACCATGCCGAAATCCACAACTTCAATGTAAATTATTTTAAAATACGTTACATGGAAGTGCTCTATTTAAATAAATAAAAAGCGTCTCATTTCTCATCCAAGCTTTGGGCAGGACTCATCTGTGCTGGATGCTTATAGTGAAAATTCCACATTCCCATTTTGGTCACCCATCTCTCCCGTAGGACAACCCTGGTAGTTTCTGTCATGCCAGACTTTGCAAACGCGGCCTATTCATTCTTGGCCTGGCTCAGGGCTTTACCAAGTCTGTCATGGAACGCAAATTGTGGAGAAAAAAGTAGCTGCCTTTGAATAGCATGTGCTCTGGAGCGTTGCTGCATTGTGTGCACACTTGGATGTTAACAGCCCCTGGATGTGATTGCAGGATAAAACCGGGCATGTAATGACGCATCGATTTATCAACTAAAAGTTAGCCCGACGGTCACGATACATGCATCAAATAATGCATGTTCCAATTGATCAATTATGATTGATGACCGATATATACATGATATGCGAATGTTACATTTCGAGAAAACTGCAAGGAAAGGAGTGAAAAAACAAGTAAGTTGGTAAACATGGGACATAGAAAGTATGGCTTGATTTGAATCATGACTCTGTATCGTGACCCCGTAATTGCAAGAGTTTCTCGAATCGCTGGGTGGTGAGTTGGTACATGCTGACAATACCTTCCAGGTTTAGTAAAATATGAAAAATGGTTCCAAGGCATCCTTGCAACTTTTCGCTGAGTAGAAACCCCTGATAAGAGAATGCCCATCAGACTGCCCTCTGTAAACTTGCCAGTGCAGTATTACATTTCTTTCGATGGAATGTGTAGATTGCAAGGGTGGTGAGGTTTCATTCAATAATTAATGGTTTCAATATTTGAACGCATCTCGCAATGCCTGATGTAAGCACCAAGACTGAAAAGTGAACAAAAAGTAAAATGGAGCCTAATGAAGCACTAGAGGTGGGGCTAGTTTTAGGATTTGTGTCAGTTGGAGGGATAGTCCTAACAGTAGACTATTTAGTTATGGTTATGATCAGGGGTGCTATTACTGGTGGTTGTTTGGCCAGTTGAAGAGATAGTGTTTTTTAAAGGACAGGGGTAGGGCTAATATTTTGTTGGCTTTTGCACTCTCCACTCCCCACTCCCAAGCTGTTTGCCACATCATCAAAGGCAATGTATATCCTTTTTGTTCGCTTTTTGGTGTTGGTGTTAGCACTGCCTTACTGTCTCACTCCCGACTGCGATATGTGCTGCACGTGGATCTAAAGGATGTGATTGGGTATTCAGTCTCGCGTGTTTGGCTGGAGTACTTGTGATGCCCCATAAGTGGCGGATGGTGGCCAAACTAATATTTTACTGCTTTTTACTGAAACAAAAAAATATACCTTTCAAGAAGCAAAAAAAGTATGACTTTAATATCGCTAATGGCAGTAGCCTCAATACATTTATATTGAATGTGTTTTGAATGTGTGTGTGTTTAGCAACCGATGTTATTACACTTGGAGACGTGCAGATGTAAGCGACGTGAAAATTGATTTCGAAAACTTTTTAGAAAATATATTGAATAGCGGAACACGAGCCTGTGAGTCATGATCACGTGTGTGTGTGTGCAGTGGTCAGGTTTCCTCTATTAGTTACCATGTGACGGCGGCTTAATTGAATAACGTGAATATTACAACAGTGGCTTCATCTGAACTTTTGGATTGCAATCTGCAATCCCAATATGTTTGAAAACCTGACTGGTGACTGTAGGGCAACAATGTTTATGTTTGCTTATTGTCCAATCCCTTTATGCCGTCTTAAAATGGCACTTGTTATTTATAAAACCATGAGTATCTCCCCAGGGTATTTGAAATTACTCGCTGCTGAGTGGAGGTGCACTCACTGCGCTATGGATTCCTGTGACCCGGTTTCAGTTACTGGCCATAAAGCACAACAGTAGCAAGCGGGTTTAGAATCTGTCCTGAACCTCCTGTCTTTTCAGCCTTAAATAAGTAGTACCTGGTTTAGCATCCAAACATTTATAAAAGGAGAGATGGCAGTGGTGTTAGCCACACCACTCTCTCATGTTATTATTTTGGCCTTAAGTTGATGCCCGTTGTTAGTAAGACATAACCCACATAGCTACATTGTCAAAGCTATTCCATGGCCATCAAGGAGTGCATTGAGTAAACTTATCTGCTGCTTCTTAATCTCATTTATCTTGTAGTGGGACAGTCCTTCCAGGCATGTACACAAGTAGACTCCATCTGATAAAGGATCTGTAAAATGCTCATCAAGCCTGGATGCACCTCGGGATGATTCCGGTTTGCAGAGCAAAAATACGTAGCCAATGATTGATGATAGAAGACCTTCCTGAGGAAGAGTTATTCTTTGTTGTAGGCATCAACATTATCCATGAGAATATCGGGCCTGCCTATCAGCCCCACTTAACCCATGAATCTCCCCCTATATGTGTGACCCCATCGAGCCCCTCTGCCGTTCATCATTTTATGATGAAGTGGTTATCTGAGAATAACATACTTGTGTATTATGCTCATGGCTGTCTCTTCATATTGCATGAGCATCAACATCATTGATGTTGACTGGTTTTCCCTTTGATACAGAGCTTCAGGCCTTTTTGGTGATGGCCACGAATGGTATCGGCTTCCCTCTGCTTGTGAGATGTAAAATGCCTTGCCAAGACAACAACACCACAGGTCTGGTTTCCTTCTCAAGGATCAATATTTATGCCCAAGGGTCATAGAGCCAAAGCACAGCAGCGTTTTCATTCATTGTTAAAACTCCTGGTGTCATGAATTTCTGTAAGAGTGGCCATCATATTTGACAGCTGTCATCTACAATTATCATTTTATAGATGACTAGAAACTAAGCTGTATAAAATTGATAACAGTCCCCATTAACTATTGATCACCAATGTCTCTTGCAACAAGAGTTAATGGGTATATCCGATATGTTGACATAAAATCTACAAAATTGCTCCCCATTTCTGACAGTTTTTACATGGAACATTGATAGAATAGCAATACGGGAGACCCTTGAATATTGCGGGTTTATCGAGTGCGGTTTAGACCTATTGCGGGCAACCTCTTTGTATACCAATTTAGCTATTGCGGGGGTTGTTGGCCTTTCGCGGGTTTACTGTATACAGAAGTATTGTATCATTGGCTGATACGGTGGTGCGGGGCTGGCTAGGGGAAGGAGTCACACCTCAACCATTGCCCTTCAAGCATCTTGTGGACAAACAAAGACAAAAGACCCCCGTTTAGCCTATTAACAGACTGTTGGGGAAAGTGCTGTTATTGAGCACCTATGAAAGCTGGTTCAGCACACGAGGGGGTGGGTGGCCAGCACCACGCCTGGTCGCCTTTATCTCCCTAGTGGCGACATTTACACATCACACCAGGTACTCAATTATGACTGAGTCGACGTACGGGAGGTCCATGACCGGTATAGATAATTGTCACTGTTGTTGAGCATGAGCAGGAATCGAACTTGGGTTGCTGAGCGCGATAATCGTTGCACTGCCACTCATGGACAAACAACAAAAACGCCATTCACTAAGTGGCAGGTGATGTCACCACGGCGCTTGTGCAAGGCAATATGCACTTTTAAGGCCATGTGAAGTGTCGAATGCCCGCTGGCAGGTCACGGGACAGACCCAGGTACTATGGGTCACTAAATAGTCCATCAGATGTTCTTGCTTTGACCCAGTGTGCATCCATGATGTTGTTTGGATGTACCGATGCTGGAACAGCATGTTGGTAATTGCATGCCCATGGGCTGCACAGAAGACTAGCAGCCTCCTCCCATTGTTACTGAGCTGATCTAGCCTATGCCTTCCAATCACTCCAGCCCAGGTGCCAGCACCAAGACCTACTCGGGCATTAAAGTCGCCCAACAGGATGCATTTATATCCCGAGGGGCCACTTTAGCTAGCACCTGCGACAGGAGGTCATTGATGGCATCGGACTCATTGGCGTCACCTGCATTCCTCCACTTATGTTCATCTTGGGTGGGGGCATAAGCAATCACCATTTCTCACCTCCCGTTCATGGGGAGGCGAGCCCACAGTAGCCTGGGGCTTACAGCTTCCCACACCTCACCGCAACGCTGAACACCAATCTGACACGTAACAGTAAGAAAGTCTGGGCGACCATAAGAAAACTAGGAGGTGACATCACACCTGCAGCCGTGTCAAATGTTACTGCTAAGTAGGTAGCACAGCAACTGCTCAACAATGGGAAGCGGTTGCAAGTGAGAAACCCCGAAGAACAGCATCGCTGTATTATACTGCCTGACACGCAACCACCTGACTCAATCACTGACTTACTAACCCACACTCACCCACTCACGAAATTTCATGTTGAAATAGTAAACTCACTCAAACACTCACTCGCCAAACCAACTCACCCAAGTCACCCACTCACTAAATTAATCACCCACCCACCCACTCACCAAATTGCAGTTCACAACAAGAAACACACCCACAAACCCACTACCCACTCACCCATTCACTCACTCACGCACCCACTTACCCAATTCCTCACCCACCCATCCACTCACCCATTCATTCACTCACTTAATCACACACCCACCCACTCACCCAAATGTCATTATGCAGGTCACAACTCACTCAACCACGCACCCACTCACCAAACTGTAGTTCACAACAAGAAACTCACATACCAACCCACAAATCTAATCGCTCACCCACTCATTTAACTCCTACACTGCAGGTTGCAACACACTTGGTCACTCACTCACCCACTAATTCACCAAACCACTACAGTGCAGGTCACGAAGACACACTCATTCAGTTACCCACTCACGCACCAATCACCAATTCACTCACTCACCCATTGACTAACCCAATTACTCTCTCACCCAATTACTCACTCACCCACTCACTCACTTAATCATCCACACACTCACCCACTGGCCCAATTTCCATTATGCAGGTCTCACTGACTGCTGGTCATAACCCACTCACTCACTCACCCATGCGCCCATTTACGCACGGACCCACTCACCAAACCACTACACTGCAGGTCACAACAACACACTCACCGACTCGCTCGCCAACTCACCCATTCACCTAACCACCAAATTGCAGGTCAGAATAGGAAACTCACTCAAAAACTCACCCATCAACCCACGCAGCCACTCATCAATTGAATGACCTGCCACACTGCAGGTCACAACAACAAACTTACCCCGTCACTCACCCACTCAATGCATAACTCACTCATTCCACCCACTCATTCCGCCAACTCATGCACTAAACCACTCACCACCCACCCAACCACCATTCTGCAGGACATGACAACACACTCACCCACCCACTAACTCATCCACTCACTCACCCACCCACTTACTCACCCACTCACTCACCCACTCACCGACTCACCCAGCCATCCACCCACCCGCTCACCCATCCACCCGCTCGCCCACCCACCCACTCACCCAGTCGCTCACCAAACCACAACACTGCAGGTCACAACAACATACTCATTCACTTACTCAACCACTCCTTCACCCACCCACCAACTCACCCATCCACTATTCTCAGGGAGCTCTGGCTCAGTTATCTACACGCCGAAGACAGAAGACCGGCCTGGAGAATAGGACCCTGGACCCCAAGCTCTACAGCCCTTCTAAGGGCTGGAGCTCAGAGAGGCGAGTGGTCAAGGGAGAATAGGTCTCTGGCAGAGAGGACCCTGGACCCAAGCTCTATAGCCCTTCTAAGGGCTGGAGCTCAGAGAGGCGAGTGGTCAAGGGAGAATAGGTCTCTGGCAGAGAGGACCCTGAACCCAAGCTCTATAACCCTTCTAAGGGCTGGGGCTCAGAGAGGCGAGCGGTCAAGGGAGAATAGGTCTCTGGCAGAGAGGACCCTGAACCCAAGCTCTATAGCCCTTCTAAGGGCTGGGGTTCAGAGAGGCGAGCGGTCAAGGGATAATAGGTCCCTGGCAGAGAGGACCCTGGACCCAAACTCTATAGCCCTTCTAAGGGCTGGGGCTCAGAGAGGCGAGTGGTTAAGGGAGAATAGGTCCCTGGCAGAGAGGACCCTGGACCCAAGCTCTACAGCCCTTATAAGGGCTGGGGCTCAGAGAGGCGAGTGGTCAGGACCCACGGACAAGGAGGTCGGGGTCAGTTAGCCTCCCCTAGGTCCCAGCCGGAGGACGATATGGAACGGGTGACCAGAGTTAGGTCCCGTATAGTTCGGAGGCCATAGCGCCTAGGTATCGGGTGAAGGGACCGACATACCCTTCATGCTAGGGACCCTGTAGTGAAAGACAATAAACGTGTGCCTCATAAAGAAGTGTATTCGTCATAATTACAACACGACATTTATTTAAAGTTGCGCATTTTGATGTAACATTACATTTCTCACCTCCCCCCCCCCCCCTTCGTCACACATCGTCACAAATGTCTGACCCCCCCAAGGTGCGTGACGTCATTTATGGACGACCCCTGATTCACCATGAAGACATCTGCGTGAAAGTCCCGAGCGATTCATAAAAAAATCACATAATTCGAGCTGCTGCTCGTGAAAATAATGAACAGCATGTGAGGGCTTATGATCACTGCCATCTATCGACCAAAGTCTTCAACCACTCTCGGAATGCTTTTCAGAGCTTTACGATCTGCAAGACTGTGGGTCACTTGGCTCTGGGTGCATCATCTGTGGTGATCTCAACTGTCCCGGACCTACTGCTTCTTGTGGTAAAATCAACAGTGATCTCGCCGAGATTACCAATACTTTAACCCAGCATGTCAGCGGCACAACATGTGACTCGGAAAAGTATCTTCACATCTGCCGATGCCGTAACTGTGACCGACGACGTGAGTAATTGTAATTGCAGACGTGGGTATTTCGCATCACAGTTTCGTGATGTGAAAAAAGTGGCATTAACGATTATTCACCCACCCATCACACCAATATACGGAGACTGGGAACAACTGGCCCATGATACTTTCCCTTAGATTACAGGGGTCGGGAGCCTTTTTGACTGGGAGAGCCATAAAAGCCAAATATTTCTCAATATATTTCATTGAGAGCCATATAGTATTTTAACGTATAATAAACTAAATATGTCTTACTTTTAATGCGACTTCTGGTGCTGCATGGTTTTGCTGATGGCTTTGTAGTCTGGTTCATACGTGGTGAGGTTGAGCTTCATGCAGGCGTGGCCCGTGAAATGTATCTTCAAAACTAATTTCTGTTTACTTTAAAATGACACAGTATTATTAAGCAATATCACAAGTATTTAAAAATCAGTTCCAAACCGATTAATTTATTTATTATTATTTATTTCAACTCAAAATTGTCTGGGAGCCATATGCCGTCACTGGAAGAGCCATATATGGCTCGCGAGCCATAGGTTCCCGACCGCTGCCTTAGAAAATCCGGTCATCCTCGGCGTGTCTAATTCCTGCAAAGACGGGATATTAATTTGCAGCTTAATTAGGAAATTACATCACCGCTGTTTTTTTATGCGCTCGTGCCCATCCAAACAGGCACAACGAGAACGGGGAAAGTGCGCACTAATTGGCTGTCACAGGAGGCGATCGCTGCAAAGTGGCCACAGAGAAGGCTGGAGCGTCTTTGGAAGAAAACTGGTTGAGAGACTGTCCGACTCGCTTACAGAGCCGCCTGCACTCCTGTCAACAGACTCATTATTGAGTCTCGCATATCGTTCTACGCTCTGTACATCAAGTTCAAGTTCATTTATTAGGTATAGCCCTGTGAGCCATTCGGCTCTTGAATCGGGTGCAACCGCAACAAACAAAAAACATGAATAAAAAACATATTAAAGTGAATATGTGACTAAGTGGAAACAGAAAATCCAAGAAAAGACAGCAAAGTATTGCAGAAAAAAACACCGTACACCAACGCTGTGTGTAAAAATCCCAGTGGGATGCAAGTCAAACAACAACAACCATAAGACAACTTAGATTAAGGCCATCAGTCACCCCCGTGCTTAGTGGCGCGACGTGAAGGTCTGATGCATTCCAACCACCAATCAACTGAAACCGCTCTGTGCAAAGTACTTGCAACAGTCTTCGCAAGTAAATGAGTGACGATCAACATGGCAGTTTCTAACGTGATATTGCAGATAACGGGGATACATTGTTGATGAGGGTATAATGGCAGACGAGAGTGATATTGAATAAGAGGGTGATATTGCGGATTAGAGGTTGTAAATGTAGATGAGAGGGTAAAATTGCGGATGAGAGGGTGATATCGTGGAGGAAATGGTGATATTGCAGATGAGAATGTGAAATGTCAGAAAATAGGGTAATGCAGTGTGCCTGCTGACGTCACGCATCCCTCCGCGTTGGCAATGTCTTAATCCAAGACAAGAATCCAAGTCTCGGGCGAAGCTTTTAGCGAGCGGCAAACAAGGTATTTACCGGGTAATATTTCACGCTACCTTTACCCAACCGGGTAATTGTTCTGTGCTACCTTTACCTTACCACGTCGACACCTTTATCTTTACCCTTTTATCCGGTAAAAATGGTAAATTACCTTACCTTGCCGAGGCCTACATAAGAGGGTGAAATTGTGGAAAAGAGGGTGATATTGCAGATGAGAGGGTTTAACTGCGGATGAGAGGAGATTTCAGACAAAAGGGCAAAATTTCGGATGAGAGGATAAACTTGCCCATAATACCGTATGGTATGCCAAAAATCAGCTGCTCATCACCTGCCATCATAATGCAGCTACTTTAGAAATGCGTTCAGTTTATCTTTGCATACCTAAACCAAGCAGATGGTTTTAGTGTGCTCTAAGCTATTGCTTTTGTATCAAAATCTTCCATGTACAAATTCGCTATCACAGGAGACAAAGGAGAGCCCATTGCTGCTCCTTCCTTTTGTTTATAAGTAAGACTTCTCCACAAATCTGGCTGTCGCCTGATGAAGCTAGTTGTAATTACTGGCGAAACGTCGTACTCAGTTTGTAAATGTTGTGGCTTGGCTCTCCAACACACCGGTGTGCTGTATTAGTGACATGTTCTGCCTACATGACAACCCTTACTAGTTGGCTGTGTCGGGTGGTGGCGGGTTTTAACGACACATTTATATATTTATGAGATCTAACCAAAACACCTCTTATGGATATTGGTCACGAAAGCCTACGTATTAAACATAGTGTGTATGTTGAACTTCTTTCGCACTGTATGTAACCAACCGTGCTAATTGGAGGTGCGGGGGAAGGATAAACTAAACACAAAAAGCAGTTCTAAAGAAATATCTTCAATTTAGATGTAAAATTTCATAGCAAGTGTCTTTTCAATATTGGAAGAGGACTCTTTTGCGCCTTTTGGCGTCATCTGGTCCAACACCATGTGAGGCTAGGCTCTAAGAAAAGCTGTCTCGGGTGTGGACCAATCAATTTTAAGGACAGTGCATACATTATCAGAGTTGTGTTTTTTTTTTTGCATTCCGACCACCGGTATTGTGGTCAATGCAAACATGACTCCTTGTAAAAAAAGGTGTCAGTTTTGTTGCCAGATAAAAGGGTAAAAAACCAATTATCATATTTTGCTACTGGCAAAGGAGGTTCCAATGGTGTAAATGCTGACCCCGTGCTCTCATACTCTGATGGTGCATTGTCTTTGAGTTGTGCGCCTTTTGGCATCATCTGGTCCAACACCATGTGAGGCTAGGCTCTAAGAAAAGCTGTCTCGGGTGTAGACCAATCCATTTCAAGGACAGTGCATACATTATCAGAGTTGTGTTTTTTGTTTGCACCGCAGGTATTGTGGTCAATGCAAACATGACTCCTTGTAAAAAAGGTGTCAGTTTTGTTTGCAGATAAAAGGGTAAAAAAACAATTATCAGTGTAATGACTTTTCCCACCACGCTATTTTCGGCATGAGCAGATACAGTATAATACAAAACTAAACTTTTTATTATCCCAGGTGAGGCCCATTGAGTTATAGAGCTCTTTTTCAGAAGCGACCTCGCCAAAAACTAAACGAATTGCCTTATCATGTGGAAATGTAAAGAAGCCAAATACTCTAAAGGCGTTTGTAAATGTAGAACGGAAAAACCGGAGGACCCAGTGAAAAATCCACGCGACAACGGGGAGAGAGACATCACAAACTCAAAATATACAGCAGGCGTCAGGATTGGGATCGAACCCAAGACTTACTGTATACCAGGCGAAGTAGTTAAGTAATTAACATAAATTGATAGAGTACTATTAATCAGCCACATGTTTAATATAATACATATGTACCAAACGAGAGTAGCGTACAGGTTTTCTTAAACATTGTTTATGAGGGATGTTAAAGATTCCGTGACATTGTTAGAAAGAGTAGGCCATTGCGTGCCCGCATCAAGTTGCAGATTTGAAAAATGACCCGATTTGGATTCGAACAACATCGGGGCCCCCTCCTGTGAAACGACTGCCGATTATGTCTGTGAATCACAGCAGCGCCTTTCGCGTTTCATCGCCTCACACTTTTAACAATGACGCAAACACCACAAATGTGTGAAATGTCCCATCATTGTTATCGCTGGACTGTGGGGAATATCGATGTCCAGCAGTCATACCTGTCAACCCCTTATTAGTGCCTTATTACAGACCAATTTAGACCATATTGGTCACCCCATGCCCTTATGAATCTCAACGTCCATCCTACAAAGACCCATCACAAGCAGGGCCGGGGCTACAGGTACTGTGAGGCCCCCAGTAATATTTACAAAAGGAAAACAAAGTTAAATGATATTTAAGGCCTCGGCACAGAGTCGTTGTCCTTCTGTTTGTCTTGGTGTGTGTCTTTGCGTCTCTGCATGTGTCTGCCTGTGTTGTTTCCGTGTCTGTGTTTTATCATTCATTCTTACCTGATGGTTGCTTGTGTTGCAACCGAAACGTCGTATTCTATTATTTGATTTTCTACGTGACTTTACTGAAAGAACCAAAGAGTAAAGTTAAAGAAAAATAACATTTATTTTTACAAGGCTAACAACAAATAAAATTCAGCACGTGCCTTAATCCGGCCCTGATCACAAGGGAGAAACACATACAGACAGACAATTGCCCGTATTGAAACGTCTGTACGCCGTATGGACCTCAAAACTAAATTTCCCTGTACAAGAATACGGGGTTAAAGCGTATGGGTTGACACGGTATGACATCGACGCCCAGCAGTTTAGCAGCACGTGGCCTCTGGTGATGGCGGCCCGATACACTCGCTACGCGTTTCCGTGACGTCATTTTCCGAAGTGTCGGAGCTCGCGGCTGTGTCGTCATCACGCTAAGTGACGCAGAACCAAAAATCTTGATGACGTCACTCCAAAAGGCGTTTGATTCTTCGGCTTCAATCGCCATTTCCTTCCCAGCAGCGGCGGGGGTGGACGCGGCGACTGCGAGCGATGCCGAAGGTCGTGTCGAGGAGCGTTGTCTGCTCGGACACTCGAGACCGCGAGGAGTACGAGGGCGAGAAGCCACTGCAGGTCTACTACTGTCTCTGCGGACAGATGGTACTCATTATCGGTACGACGTGGCTGAGGGCCTTGGTCCGCGCGCGCGCGAAGCCTACGGTGTTGCCTGAGTTGTGCCCGGGGCGATCGGTGCGGTGTTAGGGGGGAGGGCGGGGGGGGTGCTGTCCGTGTCGTACGGTGTCGGCGTGGGACTAGCGCATTAGGTGTCTTGGCTTTCACGACAACACGATGAATTCCCTGAAGCTCCGTCTCTTTTTTTTTCATGCTATCACAAAAAAACACTTGTCGATACAGTTATCACCTGTGGTGATGTAATATGCGGGGAGCGGTAGTGTAGCGAATTGGATTCCCTCCTAAAGGCCAACACCGGTGACGATTATCGGAAGCCGTTTTGGGCCTCTCCTAGGTCGACTCGGCCTCAAATGAGTACCTGGTGCGGTGTGTAGACATCGCTACTGGGGAGACAAAGGCGGTCGGTCGTGGTGTTGACCACCCACTCGTGTACCGTGGCGGCTTTAATAACAGTCTGTTAAGGCCATACGGGGGATCCTTGTCTTTGGTGTAACTTGTATGCTCATCCACCACATGCCCAAGCAGCTTCTGTTTGGCCGGATAGATGAGGCTAAACGGGCGCGGCACGAGCGAGAGAAGAGTAGGGCTGATGTGGAACAAGATGATATGGAGCTGAGTGGACTTGCCGACGACTGACACCAGCGGTGTCAAGATCCCCCTCTGGAGGAGGCTCGTGAAGGACGCTGCACCTGGGCTGTTAGAGGCGGTCGCTCACAAACAACAACAGCGGAGGGCAGAGCAGCGACGCTCCACGATGAGCAGAGCGCCGGGCGACTAAATTGAGAGTGCTTTACTGCGTTGCATGGTTTCAACTTCATATACAGGTTGGGAGTCCACTCAAACCATCATGACTCCATGGTTGTCAAAATGAATACTGTACAAATTTGTGAGACTATACAGCAGTGGGTGACCTTTGTAAATACTGCTCTCTGTCGTGGACATTTAACATTTCCACTCATGCCTCATGGCTGCCGATAAATGAGCCCCACGTATGTTTAAACAGGGATAACATATAATAATATAGTTTATGTTAATTAATATAGCGCCTGGACGAAGGCGCTGAAGAAAAATTAGCTATTTGTACAGCAAAAGTATGATGAGATGAGTTGATGAGAAGGATGGTAGTTAGTGATCATGATGATGCGTGAAATATACGATGATGAAAGTGACAATTAGTGGTTAATATTGATACAAGTGGTTGTATGGGGGAGCGTGATATATGTATTTGTGTCTTCGTGTTCAGATTGCCAGATGGAAAAGCTTCCGATGCGCCGCAGGGACGGAGCAAGAGTCATAGACTCGTCAAAGCATGCACACAAATTCTCCAACATCGAGCCTGAACAGACCGCATACATCCGCAGGTGAGGTGTGGATGATGGGGACCTTGGTAGTGGCTTGGCGTTTGTCAGTGATCTCTTGTTTCTGAAGCATGTGTGCGCACCTGAAAACATGGCCCACTGATACATTTTAAGTGTATAGTACAGGTAGACCCTATTAAAACGATCGAAGCATTCTTGAAAATCTTCATGTAAGGTGAAATCGTGTGAATCAACCATGCAACGTTGATCGTGGGAGTTTAACCATCCTTCAAGCTGGTCCGTGTGTGGGTTTATGAAAGTTGCCAAAACGCTTCATGTTTGTAACCCCTTTAATGCTCAACTGAAATTAACATCCCAAATAAATCCAAGTTTTCATGGAGAACCAGAGCATCAAGGTGAAAAAAGGCATCCAGAGTGGCAGTAGTTTTATTGCAGACAGAGCAAGAATTCGAGACTGCGTTGGAAGTGAGGGAGAGGGAGGGGGGTGAGCCAAGGAGGTGGAAGCGCGAGGTGCGCAGCCCCTGCCGCGGCAGCCACATGCACGGCCATGGCGACGGTGTCTTGGGCGTTGACCTCTCGCGGCAGAATTCATGAAAGCGGCCACTGGTGGACAATGACGGGTGCTGGCCAGACCCTTGAGACTGGAAAGGACCGTCTCCAGAAAGGAAACAGGGTTCGCATTCAGGTGGACTCCCACCAAATAAATGCTTGAAGCACGGTGGTAGTAAATTTCTGCAGACAACTGATGTAGTAGCCAGGCAGCCACACGGACTGAGGGGTGGATTGACCACCTGTAGAGCAGAAGTACAATTCTATGGCGGTGTGGCGTAGCGATAAAGCTGCCAGGCCAAGGAGGTTGAGTAGCCAGGCTGGCCATATGGCCCAAGAGCAGGTCGACCATTGCAGGGCATGAACGCAGCCCAAGGGCCTATGAAGCAGCCATTGCAAGGTGATAGAGCGGCCCAGCAGAGAGTTGACCTCATCAAACTATGAGATTAGGCCGGTAAAGGGACTCAGGCGCAGAGGCCAGCCCCAATGTGCATTGTTTAAATATCTGTTTTCAACTTGTGTTACAGGGAGGAGGGAATCGAAAAGCAGTTCCGCAAAAAATGCAAAAAGTAAGTTTTGTTTTTATCAATGTCAGTGATTGTGTGAGGTGTTTTAGTGAGGAAAGACTTGATTATTTTGTCAGCTATATCAGTGTGATTTGAAGTAAAGTTACATAGTGAAATGAGGCAATGACCGTCATCCTCACAAAGTGTATTTCTATATTTTGCTCTTGGCAAAAGATGGCAAACACCCTTGCCCAACTGCACATTTAAAGAGCCAACAAGTTTTATTAATCGGGTTGTAAAAAGAAGTCAACGTTTATGAACAATAAAGCTAGAATATGGTGACAAAAATAAATGAATTATGGCAACGTTACATATGGGTTTGAACAGCTGCACTTTCGATGTGAGCAACCAATCTTGCTTATGTTGAGAGGTTAATTGTATCACACATGAATAGGGATTAAACATCAGAGCCTGTACGGATAAGTGTGGGATCAGTTAATTTCGTAATGCACAGAAAGTAGGTTTTTTTTTTTCTCCAAAGTCTGCGAAGCTTTGTGGAGTATCTTGTGTTTTTAAAGCGTTTTGTATCAATGTATTTAGTTATGGATATATGTATGTATGTATGCGTGTCCTAGATGTGGGCTACTTTTGTGCTACCAGCACGTGGCACGTGATGCCACGGTAACGTTCATGGTGCATGGGGCCGTGGCGAAGGCCGGGCAGGGTGTAACCGACATCAACATCTACAGGCAGCAGACCCCTGACAAACCAAAGAAGGTACAGTGGCTCACAGGAACACTTACATAAAGCTCAAATGTGCATGGGTATATACACGGAGAAAGTGTAACACATGCATCAAGCTCAAGAAGGCACAGAGACACATCGTGAGTGGTGTCTGACTTTGAGGTCCTCACACACCAGGCTCCTCTTGTCAGCCATGCTTTTGACAAAGTTTTGGAGCTCGGGATTTTTCGGTATTTGGCCCTTAGATTTGGAATGATCTGCCTGAAGAACTGTGCCTGACTGCTGAGGTTCTTTTATTAGAAATAAACTTAAAACGTATTCATTTCTTATAATATGTTGGATAAACTAGAGAAGGTTTTTTTTTTTTTTAATCTGGATGATGCTCTGAAACCATTTATTGGATCTGCTTAAAAACATAAATAATAATAAGACAAGGGTATCCTGTGTATCCAAGTGCTATTAGCAAGTACCTATTAAGGGCTACATGATACATGAGGGGATGATTTAGCCAGCACTACTCCTAGCCACCTTTGTCTCCCCACTAAAGGTTACACACTCAACAGAAAATTGTATGAGGCTGATTCGACAATATAGGTACATATGTGACTTGCCACTAATGTTTGCAGTGGCCAAGAATCAAGCTTAGTTCGCCAAGTTTGTATCATAGTGCGCTTACCACTGCAACACCGCTTGCCCATGCATTGACACACAATTAGGTCCAAGAAGACATTCCCAGTATAGCTTTAACAAACTGTTGGGTCCAGTGCTGTTAGCGAGCATCTATGAAGGCCGACACTGCACACAAGAGGGTAAGTGGCCAACACTACGCTCGGCCGCCTTTGTCTCCCCAACGGCGATGTTTACACACCACACCAGGTACTCATTTGAGGTTGAGTCAACCTAGGGAGGCCTAGGACCTGTTCAGATAATCGTCACTGGTGTTACCCGTGAGCGGGAATCGAACTTTGGTTGCTGGGTTTGTTACGCAGCGTGCTCACCGCTATACTACCGCTCCCATCAACACACACAGATAAACAAAAATACTAAGATTCCTTTTATAGCCATACAGACTGTTGGTGCAAGTGTTGTTAGTACCTATTCAGGCTGGCAGAGCACTCAAGGGGGTTGTATGGTCAGCACCACTGGTGTTACCCATTGCAGCAGGTACTTAATTAAGGCCGAGCCATCCTAGGAGAAACTAACGACAGGTTGATCACTGTCCCACTGCTCCCAGCAAAGAACACACAGGGACATGTGAAAGAAGGCACCGCATATTGGGATACATGGAAGCACAGGGAGATGCAGCAGAACTTAGATGATATGGGAACAATACCTGATAAGGTCGGGTCACATTGTGTCATGTAGTGTACAATTTGGTTGTAATGCACAATTATGTCATATGCCTGTTGTGTCCAGTCTGAAGTTGTGGTGTTTATTTGTTGTATGTAACGTAGTCTTTTGTGGTTATGTCATCATCCGGTCTTTTAGTTTGTCTTTATGGTTTTGATTTCTACTGGTATGTAGTTTATGATTGACACTTGTGTGTTATGCTAACCTTGCAATTGTGTTCTGCATGTGTAGGACATGTTGTGTATGATGAGTTGTCATGTCGTGTTTTGTATTTAATCTGCAGCCTACATATGCATGCAATGTATCATGGTCATGTTTTACAGGTCATAATGACGCGTCGCACGAAGGACATGGGGAAGTTTGGTTCAGTCACCGTTTCTACTATAGATGAAGAGGAAGAAGAGATTGAAGCTGTAAGATCACAAACAACACAATGAGATGCAACTAAACACGGCAGAACAAAGTTACATGAGCGCATCACTTAAATTTCGATTTAAAGCTTTCGTGACTGCAGGGATTCATCTTCTTGGTTCTTTCGGTAAAGTCACGTAGAAGGGAAGTAATATTTTATTATGTTTTATTATGTTTTATTTTTATAATTTTATTACTTCCCTTCTACGTGACTTTACCGAAAGAACCAAGAAGATGAGCGCATCACTTATCAACATAATGTGACATTTCAGTATGGCATGATGGCACGTTATTTAACCACTACCCAAAGTAACAACACCTCAACACGTGATGAAACAAGGAAATAACATGACACAATGGGATGATACCATGACATAACACTACAGCAACTTTTATTTATTGATAGCTTTATTAATCCACCGCTGGACAAAGGCAGCCTCCCATGCTTCTCGAGAATACATGTCACGGCAATACATCGCAAGTGGTATACTGCAGCACAGTGGCATAATTGAACAATTAAATAACACGATAGACTTGTGATGCAACTTGGCCAAATGATAAGATATCTTGAAAACACTTATGCTTATAACAGTAACATGACACGTGCAATGTGATAACAGGATTACACCAAGATAAACTATCATGACAACAATTCATTACCTGATGACATGACAACATTTTCATCACATTACATGATAGAAAAAACACATAATGACATAACATTGCACAATTATATTTTGTAATGCAACAACTTGTTCAGGTAACAAATTACATAATAGTATGACACAGAGGACATGACAGTAGCTTGACATTTGTGCTTTTTGTATTGTATGTGCTGTGTGCATGCTGTGCATATTGTGTGTCGCAGAGGGAGATTGCCGATTCCTATGCCAGCAACGCAAAGGTCATAGAGAAACAACTCGAACGCAAAGGCATGAATAAGAGACGTGGAGACATGGTAAGGGCAGCAACACAACAGAAAAACAATAACATGATGCAACAAGATGTATTGTGATTGCTGGCTGGAGGGGTTTGCCCTCGCTTTGACTAGGAATAGATCTCGAGGGATTAAAGCTCCGTGGACGATCTCATTGACATTGGGGGTTTGCAGAGACAGAATAATTTCCCTCCCAGCCCCTCTGCACAGAAGATTAATGCTTTGGAGCATCCTGTCCCTGAAAGTGGGGGGAAGGAAATTATGTGGCCCAGCTGGAAGAAGTCAGGCCTGGAAAGGGTTGGGGTTCTCCTGTCTCGGGATGGTGGGGTATTGTCAGTTTTAGGTCAAATTTTTCCTCACCCCCCACCTTTTCAGATACCTCCAAATCAGAGATGCTATTCTAAAAGCCCCTGATAAGAATATAAGCGAAACTCTGTACCCAATCATAGACTGGTTGAAGGTACCCAAGACCAAATATAAATTTTAAGAGGTATACTGCTTGTTAGGCTGTAAGGGGTCTGTACCAGATCAGCGACCAGGAACCTCTAGAATAGGTGTTTGTCCCATGAGGTTCCACTGGAAAAGTAGACTCAAATCTGGCAAGCAATTTTATTTGGCCCAAGGTCGATGCTACTAAAGCTTATCCAGTTTATATGTATACATGGCACCTACACGACAAATGAAAGGAGAGCTAAATTCATGAAGGTCTCCCCAGATTTCCCCAGATGCCCCCCTGGTACAGTGCAATCCTATCGACATGCCTTCTGGTCATACACAGATGTTGCTAAACTCTACCAGGAGGTTGCTCCCTTTTTGAACGACATTTGTGACACCACTCTCTCCATCAATCGAAGCTACTCTGTGGGGCCTAAAGCTGGACACTTTCCTATTGTTATATTATTGAATAGTGATTCTGAATCATGATAATTCATGTAATAACAGAGAAGGGTGGGAGGGGATAAAGCATTACTTGCCGAATGAACACGGGTACGAACATGTTGGCATGATGCTGGTAGGGGGTTGTTTGGAAGTCTGTTGTGCAGGAGGATTCTTTGATAGAAATATATACGAATATATTATGGGCTTTTTATATTCCATGTTTTGTTCTAATATCGTAGAATACTATATCACTTGATAACATGATCTCTATTAATAGACTGGCACAGACTCTACAAGCATACATGTCACTGTATGCGTTCTACAGGGACGCGCTACGCGAGGCCTGCCTGTACATACAGCTTGAATTATTCTTTGGTTTTTTCGGTAAAGTCACGTATAAAAATAAAATAATAAATAAAATATTATTTTATTTTTATACGTGACTTTACCGAAAAAACCAAAGAATAATTCCTGCAGTCACGAAAGCTCCAAAATTAAGCTTGAATTATGTTAGTGTGTATGTCGGACCTCTTTCGCACTGTACGTAGCCAACCATATGAATCGGGGGGGGGGGGGGGGGGGGATATGGGAGTAAAATGACTTCTGTTTGTTTCTTCATCCCCTGCTTTTGTTCCCATGTCTGTCTACCGTTGTCCCCATGTTTATGTATGTCCCTGTTTCTCTCCCCCAGATGGAATCTGAAGCCAAGAAAGCAAAGTTGAAAGGAACCCTGATAGACAACCAGTTCAAATAGCACCCTTGCAATACATACTGTTAATATTTAACCATCATCTTCAGAGATAGCCAGTTAAAATAATACCCTCACAACACATCCTTTTTTCAACACTCTCATCACTGAGCACCAGTATAAAAAACACCCAAGTACCACTCACAACACCTTAGCCCAGCCATAACCAAAACTGTGGACATTCAAGGAGAACATTTGTTCCATAGTGTAATTCATCTTTGCCATGATCTCATCCTTGCATGAGTAGTGGTCTTACCCTTTCCCTGAATTTAATGCTTATATGGTTTAAATAACATCAACCAATTGTTATGAGGAATGGTGGCATCTCTAATATTGATTGTACAATTGTTTTGAAGTATAATAAATGCTTTCATTGTAAAATTTTCTCAAGTGGATAATAATAATACACTTGTTTTGGTGGTCTACATCTCAAATTCAGCGACTTAAGTTGGGTTTAGTGACTTGGAAAATGGAAACTGGTGCACTACAAGCAACTGCACCTTTGCCAGGTTGCATGAAGTAGATGAATGGGGACTGAATGTGGACAGCGTAAGGAAAATGTGGAGTTTTCTTCAAGGATCTGTGAGATTGCACTATCCAGCCTGATGAAAACCAGGGAAATCCAGCCTGTTTCAAGCCGGCACAAGTATACTTTCAAAGAGGTCCGTGTGGAATGACGGACCAGGCAACTTCTACCCAGTTCAATGAAAGAATGCTGATCGACAGGCGCGAAGCAAGACCTGCAACTGCAAAAATCGAGCTGGTCAAGAGCATACTGCCCTGGTGTGGAAATGTCCTGCTTAACTGCCCCTTTGTACCCATGAAGTTGAGGTTGTGGTATTTGATGACATAAAATTCCAAGTCAGGTGCTTAGTTTTAGTGGAGTGATGGTAAGGCATCCATCACTCGGCAACTATCAGTCCATTTGAATATAGAACATGGTTGACAAGTCGGCAGCCATCCCTTGGCTGTACCTGTCCCTCGGCTGCATCAGTCAACCTCATCGTATCATGTCAGATGGAAATTAATATTTTGAATTACATTGTTAAAGAAGATAAAGAGCACCTCCCTGTCACACTCCAAAGTGGGGAGACAAAAGCGCAGTCCCTGAAGGTCCTCAGTGATTCCACTGCTGGCAGAAGGGCCTCCGCTCCAGCCAACTCTTTAAGGGGATATGTATTTGGTCCATTATTCCACGTGCACCACTGTTTCCACGTGTTGGAAGAGGCGGGAGTACCCACATTTTACTCAGCCACACGATTGACTGCTGTGTTATCCAGTTGTGGGACAGGCCGGTGTGGAGGTGGCGGCTGGTGGTTTGCAGGGCGATTTCATTGCAAAATTTTGGTTTGCGTAACACGATTGGAACACTAACCAATTGATGATTAGCATAAGAGAGGCGTGGCGTCACCGCACATCACCACGTGATACAATTCGCAGATGGCACGCGCGACCCCCCCCCCCTCGCGAGTCACTGGGGCCGCTCCGATTGGTCGGCGGCGATCACACGTGACCCGGCTGGGCCAATGACGGTTGGGGGTTACGAGCGTGCAGGCGGAGGTCACTTTGAGGCCTCGCTGGGAGTTGGGAGAAGTTTTCTTTTTTTTAAACAGAGACGGTTTTGTTTAGATTAAATACAATACAAACAATACTTTACAATCAATTACCACGACAGTCGACTGCGATGTCTGCGCGCGGCGACGGCGAGGCGGCGGATGATCCCAGGCAAAGCGCGCACGGAGGCGAGCAGGTTCGCGTTGACGAAGAGCGTGGGACTTGCGGGGGACTCGTGGGGCCCAGACCTGGTTCACTTCGCTCCCCGTGACGGGAGACTTGCTACTGATACACTGTGGTTACTAAGTCTGTGGGATTACTGATACACTGTGGTTACTAAGTCTGTAGGGTTACTGATATACTGGTTACCAAGTCTGTGGTTACTAAGTCTGTGGTTACTGATACACTGTGGTTACTAAGTCTGTGGTTACTGAGATAATGTGGTTACTAAGTCTGTGATTACTGATACACTGTGGTTACTACGTCTGTGGTTACTGAGATAATGTGGTTACTAAGTCTGTGGTTACTGATACACTGTGGTTACTAAGTCTATGGTTACTGATACACTGGTTACTAAGTCTGTGGTTACTGAGATAATGTGGTTACTAAGTCTGTGGTTACTGATACACTGTGGTTACTAAGTCTATGGTTACTGATACACTGGTTACTAAGTCTGTGGTTACTGAGATAATGTGGTTACTAAGTCTGTGGTTACTGATACACTGTGGTTACTGAGACACTGTGGTTACTGAGTCTGTGGTTACTAAGTCTGTGGTTACTGATACACTGTGGTTACGGAGACATCGTGGTTACTGAGATAATGTGGTTACTAAGTCTATGGTTACTAAGTCTGTAGGGTTACTGATACACTGGTTACTGAGACTGTGGTTACTGATACACTATGGTTGCTGAGACTGGTTACTGATACACTGTGGTTACTGACACTGGTTGCTGAGACTGGTTACTGAGACTGTGGTTGCTGAGACTGTGGTTACTAAGTCTGTGGTTATTGATACACTGGTTAATAATTCTGTGGTTACTGAGATAATGTGGTTACTGATACACTGTGGTTACTAAGTCTGTGGCTACTGATACACTGGTTACTGATACATTGTGGTTACTAAGACTGGTTACTGATACACTGTGGTTGCTGAGACTGTGGTTACTGATATGCTGTGGTTACTGAGATACTGGTTGCTGAGACTGGTTACTGAGACTGGTTGCTGAGACTGGTTACTGATATACTTTGGTTGCTGAGACTGTGGTTACTAAGTCTGTGGTTACTGATACACTGGTTACTAATTCTGTGGTTACTGAGATGTGGTTACTGATACACTGTGGTTACTAAGTCTGTGGCTACTGATACACTGTGGTTACTGATACACTGTGGTTACTAAGACTGGTTACTGATACACTGTGGTGCAGAGACTGTGGTTACTGATATGCTGTGGTTACTGAGATACTGGTTGCTGAGACTGGTTACTGAGACTGGTTGCTGAGACTGGTTACTGATATACTTTGGTTACTGAGACTGTGGTTGGCTACGTACGGTGCGAAAGAAGTCCAACATATGCACGTGCTGTTGGGCAAGAGACTGGTTCTAAAAACGGTGATAGGAACGGACTGGTTTCAAAGACTGGCAACAGGGTTTTGTTACAGAGACTGGTTAGAGAGGTAGTGGTTACAGAGACTTTGGTGATAGAGACAGAGCCTGCTTGTTTAGCTTGCATTCTAAACCTGGTATATACTATCAGATGTAATACTTGTTCAGCAATAATCATGACAGATTCATGCTCATCGCAACCCTTTAACAATGATATTTTAGCGAAGGCTCTTAACAGCAGCTCTTGTGCAGCGTAACAAACTTCTAATGCCATTACGGCAATGTGAAAACTAGTATGTTTCATAATTGTTTTTTTACCCTTCTATCTGGCAACAAAACTGACACCTTTTTACAAGGAGTCATGTTTGCATATACCGCAATACCTGCAGTCATAATACAAACAAAAGACATAACTCTGATAATGTGTGCCTTTTGGCGTCATCTGGTCCAACCCATGTGAGACTAGGCTCTAAGGAAAGCTGTCTCGGGTGTGGACCAATCAACTTCAAGGACAGTGCACATTATCAGAGTTATGTCTTTTGTTTGTATTATGACTGCAGGTATTGCGGTCTATGCAAACATGACTCCTTGTAAAAAGGTGTCAGTTTTGTTGCCAGATAGAAGGGTAAAAAAACAATTATCATATTTGTATTGGCAAATGAGGCTCCCATAGTGTAGTATGTTTCAATGCACCTTTATCCATCTCTATAATGTGGTGAATCAACAATGCTATTTAACAAAACAATTTAATCTTGTTTATATTATATGAAACATCTAAACCTCAATTTGTATATGTTGATGGAAATTTTCCAGAACATTCAAAATTTCCCTAACTGAAAATACCTAAACAAATCAGAACCTTGACAGAATCGCAATGATAATCGTGGAAGATTATGGCATTTGTATTAATCCAAGTGTCTTGGCAGCAATTGCTGTTTAAGTTATTAACTTAGGTATAGAGATTTTCCTCTTCAATACATTGGTATACTTGCTGTTGATTCATATTTGTTTTTGGATTCGTCACGTGGTAGTTCCATGCCAAACTTTTTGTAGTTTTATGACAAACATAATCACAATTTAGCCATAAATCTACCACGTTGCCTAACCTGTGTAATGTGTGCTCTTGTAGCCTTCAAGCGGATGTGTCCATTTTGATTGACCCATGTCACTAAATATTCTGTCGGATGGTACACATGCAGTGTGGATGCCTGAAATACTTGCTGTTAATAATCATGAGCAACTCCCGTGTAAGCTAAAAGGATTCGGGCGGGGTGACACACGTCTCAATTGACTCAGCCTTAAATGAGTACCTGGTGCAATATCTAGTAAACAATTAGGCAGACAAAGGCGGCTGGGCATGGTACTGGCCACACTTGCCCCAATAGCCTGGTGAAGGCTATATGGGGGATCTTTGTGAGTCAATTACTTGTGTGTAATGATACTTATAAGTATGAGCTGGTGAGTGTATTTTCCGTCCTATTTTGTGTAGGCTTTTCAAGCAAATATAGGATATATTCCAACAGAAGAAGAAAGGAAAGTCTTGAAGGAATGTAAAAAGGACAGCATTTACCGTGGTACGTGTGAATATAAGAATATTAATATATACTGTGCTTGTTTGTGTGTTTAAGGTGTATAGCAGTGTCAAAGTGGTTCACTATGCTACAGTTCTGTAGTGTAATTCCTTAATCAGGTGATCACACTCAGGATGTATTCAGTTGTCTATAATTATGAATCCATATGAGGTTTATTTTCCTATAAATATTTACGTTTGGCAAGTTCAATTTGAGCCCAATTCAAGGCCCCCATCCACTAATTCAGCTCGGCCCACATTGTGTACCTGGATTAGTGTGATCAACATCAGCTGTGGAGAGACATAAAGGTAGCTGGCCATTTGTCAATCTGGCCATATTCCCACCTAGGACCCCATTCTAACCTATGGTAGCCTGGTCTCAGCTCGCTGATAATAGTTGAAATCAAGAATTTTATCATTGCTTGCATCTGAGAGACTGTGGCTCATACAACTGCAATGACTGCATTGGGTATGCAGTCCAGACCTCCCTAGAGATCCACAACAATCCACATCAGAGAAAGAGGAGGCTTATTGCTTAAGGAGATGGAATCTGTTTCGGTAGCCCGTGATCACAAATCACTCTTTAGTTCCATCAAATAGTCACTTGCAGCCCCTCACCTATCATCATCCTTAAGGGCAAGAATGATGATCAGATTTCCAAATCCTAAGGATAGGTCTGCAAGTTTGCAGAACATTTCTTTGAGGTATTGGGGAGGGGAATTCCACGGGGCAAAGTGGGGACAATCCTTCTGGGGCTGCCATGCCTCAAATATTGGCAGAAATAGCCACCCCTTGTGAGTGGCTGGCTGAGGTGCCATCTGTTGAGAAAACACGAGGGGCGATCCAGATTCTTGGATGAGGAAAAGTGGCCGGGCAGAGATGATCTCCTTAGTGAACTGCTGAGGGAGGGTGGTGTCAGTGTGCAAACTGCCCTACATGACATCATTACAACTGTCTGGGCCATGCAGTCCCTCCAGAAAAACGCGGAGTTTTTTGGTGATTGTTGCGGGCAAAAATCGTTGATTATGCGGCACGTTTTCTTAAAAAATGCGATGGAATATACGGGATATTTATGCAATTTTATGCAATTAAATTGCGGGAACTTGCAAAAACTGCGGTTTGATGAAAAAGAGAAAAAAAAGTGATTCCCCCAACACCCTATTCACTCGGCTACTACTTTAATGTAAAGAGTCATTTCTTATTACTTCCTATGATAAGCAAGTATACTACATCACAGAAAGTGCTGGGAATATTTAAGTTCTCATCTTGTTTTATTTCAGACCTTAACAAACAGATGGCTCAAACTTACAAAACATTGAGTCGAACAAGTTCTGTAGCTTTACAAAATGAATATGCTACAACTTCTGTAAAAATGAATAAATAAAATATGAAAAAATAAAATGTGTGCTTCCTGTTTTACAGAGGTAGCTATACAAAACAGACATCTTCTGTTAAAATAAGTGTTTTCAGTGCACAGTAACGTAAGCAATACAGTAACAGTACAGTCTTACAGTAATGTAAATGTACATACTACTAACAAAAAAGTGCAATCTTACAACTGTAAAGTTGCATAAACTCCTGAATAAAACTAACTACGTAGCCTCTAACACTTCATAACGTTCCCATGGCAACAGGGGAAATGGCTGCGCTTGTGTGAAGTAAACGCAACATTTTTCAACTTTCTGCTAAGATATATGTGACTTTTTGCAACGAAAATGCGGGGATTATGAAATCATGCAAGCCCGCATATTTTGCGCGCGGAAATCTGCAATTTATGCGGCGAAAGTGCGGCGTATTTGAAAAAACGCGCCCCCCGCATAAATATGCGGACTTTGGCTGATTTTGCATGGAATCATGCGATCGCATAATCGCGTTTTTCTGGAGGGACTGGCCATATTATGGTTTCCACAGGATTAGAAGGATGCCTTGGTGGCCCCCCTCTTTTAGAAGGGGGGTCACACAGATTTGTAACAACTACTGGGGCATTTCCCTCCTCAGTGTGCCAGGAAATGTCCTGGCTGGGATTATTCAACATTGCCTTGCCAAGCATGCTGAGGAGAGGCTTTCGGAGTCTCCTTGTGGTTTCAGGCCAGGGCAGTTTTGCACAGATGATATATTCTCTGTCCGTCTGCTACAGCAGAGGTGTAAGGCATTACGCTGATGATCTGGTAGTTGCTGCTCACTGAGAAGGAGTTGGAGATTCTGCTGCTGAACCTGGAACATGCTACTAATAGGTGGAGCTTACCACCAGCCCCACCAAATCGGAAGCACCTGCCTGGGTATTTTGTATCATCCAATAACTCCACCCCCTCAACTCCCCATAAGTGATGGACCAATTTTGGAGCGAGTGGAGAGATTTTCGTACCTGGGTAGTGTGCTTATGGCCAACTCCAGCTTGGCAGCAAAGGTCTCACTCCGAATCAACCTAGTGGCATTATCTTTTGTCAGCTCCATGAATCTGTGTGGAAGCTGTGTGGTCTGTTACTCCACACAAAGCTCCGTCTCTTCTGCCTCCAGTCATGCCCTCGCTTCTCTTTGCTTGCGAAACGTGGACCCCTCCATCGGAACATCTGCTCTAGTTTGAAACTTTTAGGCTGGGCTACCTATGATCCATCTTGGTTTTAACCAGGCTGGATTGTGTGAAGAGCTCACAGATTCTTAATAGATTTGGACACATTCCCATGAATTAGCTTCTGGAAGGCAAGGATGCTTTGGCTGGGTCCTGTAGCCCGCATGCCCAAGCAGCTTCTGTTTGGCTGGATAGAGAGGACTAAACAGGTGAGGCATGGGCTGGGGAAGAGATGGACTGATGCGGTACAGGAGGATGTGGATCTGAGTGGACCAGTCGAAGACTTGTACAAGCAGTGACAAGATCAACCTCGATGGAGGAGGCTCGAGACAAGGACTCTACTGGGCAGCTGGAGGCAGGCGCCCTGCAACAACAATGGAGGGCAGTGCAGAGGAGTGACGCTCACAACAACGAGCGGAGTGCCGGGCGGCTAAAATGTAGCAAGGGGGCACAGGTGGTGCATCTGCCAATGATCTCAGTCAATCGATCCATGGCACCTGGGTCTGTCTCGTCACTTCCCGTCAAAGAACCTTCAACACTTCATGTGGCCTCGGAGTACACCTGGCCTGGCACAAACACTATGGTGACTTCACCTCCGATTAGTGGCGAATGGAGGCTGCTGTTAGTGTTGTAATCTGTGTGCATTTGTATCTGGGTATATTATGCATATGTATGCTTATTTGGGTGCATATTTAACAAGTCTACGTGTGTGTGTGTGCAGCGGTCCCATTGTCGTTGGCAGCCATGGCTGGGACTCACTACCTGGTCTCCATTGGGCGGCTGTCACCCTCCCCTCGTTTTGGCAGCATCCCCAAAGTATTTTGTATGTGCTTCAGTACTCCAACCATTTCGAGCTGACTTAGACTAGAGGGGATTTATAATTTAACATTAATTTATGTTTGTATAATGTTTTTGATTTCTCGAGTGAAAATATTTTATTTCTTTTTACTTCATTATTGTACTTTATTTTTGGTATAGCTTTTGTCATTTTGGTGACCCCAGGTCACTCTTACAATTGAGACTTATCCTGTTTGCTTGAGTTCTCGCCATGTTAAACAAAATTAGCTTGAATCTTTCTCAGCTTCCACCCGTGGAATTCTTTCTCAGCACTGTCTCCCATGGTTAAAGTTTGTGTTTTTTTACACCAATTTTAAGTTAACACGTAGGTTTATGCTGACAATATTACGATTCGTAATAGACTTTTGGGTTATACCACAGTGACCTGGCCAAATGTATGGTATAAGACCCTCTGCCCCCCCAACATAGCCAAACAACTCAAATTGCCAGAAGTACAAGCGTTACATATCGTGCCAATTATTATTTACATTTTAGTAGGTTGTTGGACAATTCTCGCTTAATTCATAAAAAACATTTTACGTCAAATGTATCATTTTTACCACCCTGTTGACATCTTTCATATCACTCCTATATTTTTTAATTCAGCGTCAATGTAGGGATGCCCGAGCGGGTACCATAGTGGGATGCCTGACTGTAAATTTAAATGCATATTTCCGTCATTCAACTTCAAGCTTGTGTCAGAAGCCCAGGACACACAGCATAGGTAAATGTCTGTAACATAACAGATTAGTTAGCTTAGTATATTAAAGCTAAATGGAGACGTGTGTGTGGTTTGGGAGTAGTGTTGCAGTGGTTATCACGCTGAACTATGATTCTGTGACATACATTCAATTCCATCCATGGGTCACATCAGTGTCAAATGATAGCTAAACCTGTGTCGGGCTTCCCCCTAGATTGACTCGGCCTTAAATGATTGACCTGTTGCAGTGTGTTAAACTTGAGCACTGGAGACAGATGCCCATTTATGGTTATGGTTAGATCACTCCCTCATTGATCATTTCAGTCTTAATAGATCTTCACTAACAGCCCTTACCTCAACAGCCTATATGGTCATATCTGGATCTTTGTCTTTTTTGTGTGTGTAGTTGCTGGAATGTTTGGCTACTTCATTGGGCGCATCTCTTACATTGGTGTGTGCCGTGACCGCATCTTGCGTCTGGAAAACTCCCCTCTGGCCAACGCCATGAGGAAAGGGGGTAAACTGGGACCTGCCATGTTCCAGGAAAAGTCCAGTGGGTGCGACACTCACTCGATCAAACTTAAAGCAGCACCTCATACGAGGCAACTAAGTTGACACATTCTCAATTCACACACACAGAGGTAGTTTTAAGGTGGATGCATAAACTATGCACATTTAAAGACAAAAGCATGGGACATCGACATGGCTGAGACAGGCATGGCCAAGTAAGAGACAGCTGAGACCCAAAACACTAACGGTTAAGACATATTGAAGAATTGCACTTATACAGCCAACGTGTAGATACAGTGCATGGCTGAAGATGAAATATGGTGCAATTTTCTGGCAATCGTATTGTCTAAAACAATTATTATATCCATGTTGCTCTACAACTGGGAGACATGTTGCATTTGAATCTGCATTATATAATTTAGTTTTAAGAGTAAAAATACACACAAAGGTGATTTCTGTACATAAAATTACACTTCTTTGTTTCCAGCCTACATATCTGAGTCAGTATGTCCCTGCCCAATTTTCTTACATTTGTGATTGCCTGTGTGTGGCGGCACATTTCTTTGTATTTATGTCTGTATGTGTGTGTGTGTTGTGAATGTGCAGTGTGGGCTCAGAGTCTTCTGTGTCCGAGGATGTGGACATACCTGTGCTGGACGCGTACGTCCCTTATGACGCAGGTGACGTCATCCCTGCTCACATCATGGCTGGCAATGGTGATAGTGGTGGTGGTTTTGTAAATGCTCATCCTACACATGATGCTGACATTTCTGATGATACTGATGACAACGTTAAACAAGCAGTTAATACTATGGTTCGTAAAGATGCAGACACTGATCATTCAGATTGGATTGATGATGTTTATCATAGTGATGTGGGTAATTATTGTTGGTGGTGATAATTTTTATGTTAGTGATGTTCAATGCTAAATCTAGTAATATGAGAACATTCCATCATTAGTGAAAGTGATGAATATTATGTTAATTTGAATACTGGTTGATGGCAATACTGTTGTCCCAATTGTTGCTGCTGCCAATGATGTTGATTGTGTTGTTGTTCTTGGTTCTTTCGGTAAAGTCACATAGAAGGGAAGTAATAAAATAATAAAAATAAAACATAATAAAATAATTCTCACGACGTTTCGGCCACAACGCAAGCAGGCGTCCTCAGGTGAAGAACATGTCTTTTAGACTCTGTCTTAACGACAGACATGTTCTTCACCTGAGGACGGCTGCTTGCGTTGTGGCCGAAACGTCGTGAGAATTATTTTATTATGTTTTATTTTTATTATTTTATTACTTCCCTTCTACGTGACTTTACCGAACGAACCAAGAAGATGAATCCCTGCAGTCACGAAAGCTTTAAATCGAAAAAAAAATGTGTTGTTGTTGTTTGCAGAAGAGGTTGTAATTGCTGACCAAAAGGTGACCGAAGCCTTCCCGCAACTCAATTCTCTTGACAGTGGTGAGACTTCCCATCCTGGATGCCATCTCTCTCATGACCCACAATGAGGGTGAAACTAGTGCATCGAAACTAGCGCATAGTTGACATAGAGGTGTAATAATTTATCCATGTGATTTGATCCATTTTTGCAATTCAGAGGTGAGATTAAATGTTTTTTTTTAAACGTAGATTATTTTTGTCACATTTTTACCATCTCTGAATAGTTTTTCAATCTGAACACAAAGATAGCTGGCCATAAGTGGTGCTGAAACCAACGCCACCATTTGCATTGCTGTCCTTAGACGTTGCTAACAGCACATTAGATTCTGTTCCGGATAAAGGGGGAATATTTTAATGTTTATGTGATCTGCTTAGCTAACAGTGCATTTGTTCTGCGTCGATATAATTTGTACTGTTTTGTCAGAAGACAAGAATGATTCCCCTAAGAGAAAACAGGCTCTCAGACTAGATGTGGAATTTTTGCGAGACAATTTGACCTGCGTATTGTATGTGGATGTGGTATGCACTGTATGGGGTATGCGTGTAAGTGGTATGTGCGGGCAGCTAAAGCACAGCATGTTGGCACAGTCGAGGTCACAGGTGGTGCATCTGCCAGTCATCTCAGTCACCCCATGGCACCTGCGTCTGTCCCGTGACCTGCCAGCGGGCCTTCGACATTTCACGCGGCCTCAAAGTGGCAAAAGCACTATGGTGACATCACTGCCACTTAGTGGAGAATGGCAGTTGTGGTGTGTGGACGGTGTATGCACTGTATGTGATATGCACTCTATATGGGGTACGTGTATCTAGGACGTGTATGTGACATATGGTGTGTTTGTTTATGTGATATATACCGTGTGTGTGTGATATTTGTTTTTGTGTGTGAGTCTAGATCAGCAAACGCGTGCCTACCTGTCTTATGATCAGCTGAGGAGCCAGAACCGTGATAACTTCGAGCAGTCACGGAGGCAGAACATGCCGCCCACAACCAGGCCACCCCCTCGTCAACCTGACACCAGCGCAGGTACTATTATATCATCACAACCTCGCACCTCACCTACATGTACACAAAGACAAAGATCCCCCGTACAGCCTTTAAAGGACTATTTTTAGCGAGAACCTATGAAGGCCAGCACGGCATACAAGTGTAATGGGTTCCGGAGACACTTGTAGATGTAACTTCTTTATTAACTCTCCAACACTCCAACTCTCCAACAGTCCTGATACTCTGTTACAGCCTAGGTACACAGCCTAGGTACACAGCCTAGATACACTACTCTGGCTACGCTCTGGAACTCGCCCTCACAAGGTCGTAGAGTCGGGAGTTCCAGAGTCCCACCACTGGCTTTCACAGCATCCCAGGGTCCTCCGATGGCTGGTCTTGGGTCTTGGGTCTTGAGCTACGACTGGCCCTGATCGTCCAGGGAGCTCCGCTTTTATGCCCAGTCCCCAACGAGGGGTGGGGCCGTGTGCGCCCCCAGATATCCGACAGAGCACACACAGCCCCCCCCTTTGGCGGCGCCAAGGGGATTAAGCGCTTGGGAACTCAACAACTGACGCCAAGAGGTTTAAGCATCTGACCCACCTGGGAACTCACGCCTGGTGCCAAGAGGCTTAAGCGTCTGGACCCGCCTGGGGTCCCAGAGCCCCCAGCAGCCCCTCCCTTCTTATGTCACTACACAAGCGACTGAATAGCCAACATCACACTCGATTTCCCTGGTCTCCCCCATTACTGATGTTTACACACTGCACCCGGTCAGGATTAGTCAACCTAAGGGAGGCACAGGACAGATTCAAATAACTACCACGGATGTTAGCTGTGGGCTAGGATTGAACTCAGGTTGCCGGGTGTATAGCACAGTGCACGTAACCACTAAACTACTGTACTCTTTGGGTCTTTCGGTCAAGTCACGTTAATAGAAATAATAGAGCACAATGTTTCGATCGCAACACAAGCAATCGTCTTCAGGTGAGAGAGAGAGAGAAAGCTGCTGAGACAAGGTCTTATATAGGCCTGAGATGGGTGCATCAAGGTAGGTGGGAGGAGCTAGAGATAGTCCAACCAGAGAGGCTCGGGCAGTGGACACCCAGCCTGTCAATACAAAGACATCCAACCTTGTAATTAAACTCAGAGAGTCAGTTAACATCGGTAGAAAGGATGCAAACATCATATCAAGTTAAGATTTTACCTGGTTAATGACGTCCTTTCAATGATTGCTCAATTTGTACCCATCTTCTCGGTTGAAGTTGTGTCTATGTTTATATATACTCGGATGGCTTCATGAACAAATCTTAGATGATAGCCAGTAGGTTTGCAGAGTACCTTTGTCTTGGAAAAATCAATATCGTGTGAGCCCACAGCGTTAAAACAATGATCAGCCACGGCCGAGGTATTGGTCTAAACTACTGCTCCACCAAACCCATAAGCACACGTGCAATCTACTACATATATATGCACACATATCACAACACGCATAGAAACATGCAAACACAAATATAACATTTAAATATATAGTTCAACATGTATTAATACAACCACACATACAATCACATAATGGACACAACCACCAATTATTATCTTGTTGGTTCTTTCGGTAAAGTCACGTAGAAGGGAAATAATAAAATAAAATTTTAGCATAATAAAATAATTCTCACGACGTTTCGGCCACAACGCAAGCAGCCGTCCTCAGGTGAAGAACAGGTCTGTCGGAAAGACAGCTGAGGACTGCTGCTTGCGTTGTGGCCGAAACGTCGTGAGAATTATTTTATTATGTTTTATTGTTATTATTTTATTATTTCCCTTCTACGTGACTTTACCGAAAGAATCAAGAAGATGAATCCCTGCAGTCACGAAATGCTTTAAATTACCAATTATTAGTTGCATCCATGCACTTAGGAGTACACTTCTACAGATGTGTAACATATTTGTATCAAGAACTGTGGTTAAACCTTGTGCTAAGACAGGTGCATGAATTCGATTGTGCCATTCCTTTCTCTTTGCAGTGAAGAAGAATCAGTATGGAGATGAATGGGAGGAATGATGGATGGGATTAAGTGACAATTCATCAGATTGCAGGGCGTGAACCATTGCATGGCTGGAATATATACATCGCACACATGAATACGACCACACATATACACAACTACACGTACATACACACACGTAGTAACACATACATTTTTATGCTGTATATATGCAAACACTTGTTAGGCAGTGCCATACAGTATATCCACGTAAGTGAATACAGCACCCCTATGTGTACTATTGCTTTTACATATGACATGTGCATGCATACACCCACACATGCGCACATGTACATGCACTTAATCATATAATTGCACCTCTATAGTATATGCGAGGCGGTACAAAAAGTTCTGAGTCGAGTACAGAAGAAAATATCAGAGACCATTTATGTTACAGCTACCTTTGGGTATATTCAGACAGCTAGGGGACCATATTCTAGATTGCTTTGTTTCTGTGCTTGGATGCTGACAGTCAAAAATCAAGAATCGTACTGTCATAAAAATATTGACGCTGAAGAATACTAATTGTGTAAATAAGAGTGCGTGAGCGTAGAGCAAATGTGTTTTATGACAGTACAAACTTATCTTGAAAGTGTATGGGGACAATGCATCATTATGTGCAGAAGTTTGGTGCTGGGTTACAGAATGTATTTATGGCAGTGAGATTCTTGAAGATAACTCCAGGTCAGGGTGGCCTGTGACTGCAGTGACTTATTAAAATATCCAGTCAGTGCAAGATGTGGTTTGAAAAACAACTGTGTTAGTGTTGTACTTTTAGCTGGCAGCTGAGGCACGAGTGTGGGATCGGGAGAAACATTGCATGATCATATGGGGAATGAACAAGATGTGGGTCCTCAATGCTAACATTGAGGAAAATGCAATTCTCATCACATTGAGGCACTTCCACATCCTGACTTTCCTTCTGATCAAGTAACCAGTGACTCGCATGTTTGTCAAATGGAACGAGGCTGTTTGGAAAGTGTTTATGATGTGAGGGATCTGTGGATGAACCTGAAAGGGCTAGAAGAAAAGTTATTTCTGGAGGGAATCGCGAACATCTGAAATGATGTTTAATGTTTTTTTGTGTACTGTGTACTATATATATTAGGCTTAACTGTACCATTAAGCACTTCATATACAAGCAACCACATTCACACACTCATGCGCAACACATACAATATAAGCATCAAAACATGGAATATATTTGTTGACCAGAGAAATGATGTGAATTGTGTTTAATAGACATGGAAATAAACACTTTTAACAGTATGAGTGTTTAATTCATAAATGGTACAAGCTTAAGGACAAGTCTTTCAACCTGACATTTTACCATGTAGGTAGACCTTTGAGATTTGTTATCTCATAATGTAAGTTCAGGGATGTAAAAACAATTGACACTTGGAATGGTATTCTGCATTTGGTCAACTTGGCCTTAAATGTTTGTGATATTAGTTAAAAGCACTGGAATGAAGGTGGCTGCCGGTTATACTGGCCACACCATTCGCTTATGCAGTCTGCTGTCATAGGGTGCTCACTTTTATTCTCAGAATATAAGAATAAGTCCAAAAGGGAATATTTGTATATACTCGGGCTGAACGATTTGGGGAAAATATCTAATTGCGATTTTTATGACAGATTGCTTCAGTTCAATATTCACTGTCTAATATATTTAAAACGTGTAGAGAACTAGTGTGATGACGTTATGCCATGGGCGCTGTAAGGTGTGATGATGTCATGTCATGAGCGCTGTAAGGAGACACTGAGAACGGGTGGATCCGAGTGAAGGGGAGGAGCTGCCCAAGGGGTACTTAAGGCGGACCCCGTGACGAAGGCGTGGTCGTTGTGGGAGCCCAGAGTGTGGATTGGCTGAAGGAGGTCTCTCCCGCTTGTGACCGGATGGTGTTGGCTGAACCCCCGTCCGGGGTCGACGAGTGGGAGAGCCAAAGAGATAGCCAAGCGTAGGGCTCAAAGAAGTCTGAGAATCGGCTGACTGTGAATGGGGCTCATCTCTCCTCGGCTGGGCGGTGTTGGATGAACCCCCGTCCCGGCCCGAGTGAGAGAGCCCAGAGGATAGCCAAGGTTAGGATGAGAGAACACCCACCCCCTGGTGTGAGCCAAGTGTTTAACCCGTGTTAATAAACGGCGAAAGCCCTTACAAGAAGTTCTGTCTCCACGTGGATCTACGACACAACACGTGATGGAGAATTACCACATGATACCATCAAAATATGAACTGCTCTATACAGTATATTCTCATGCAAGGATGTGAACTTAAAATATATGAATTGCTTTCAACATGTATTTATTAAAAGCATTTAATTGAAATAGAACAATCAAACTTAGAACAATTGTTAAGTTAAATAAATTAAGTTATAACAAAAATAAAACAATTCCAATAAGAAAATAGTAGGACTTTTCAAATCACAAAAAACCGCAGCCTTTGCGATTTACTAATCGCATTGTATAAAATTTCGATTTGAAATCGATTAATCATTCAGCCCTAGTAATTATCTAAATGGAGCACTTCCAGTCACCTGTAAAGGCGAGCCCTAATTATTTTTGCATGCATTTTATTTAACAGGTAAGACCCACCGAGCTTTAGCTTTTTCAGAAGCAACCTGGCCACAAATGATGTCTCGACGAAGTGGCTGATGTGGAAATGTAGAGAAGCCAACGACTCTAAACGCATGTTTTTAAATACGGGTCACCGAAGGACCCGGAGAAAAATCTATACGACCACGGGGAGAACATGCAAACTACAAATAGACAGGTGTCAGGATTTGGATTAAACCCACGACTTGTGTGGTGTGTAACATATCAGGAAGGCGCACCCACTCGATTAAGTTGGAGGCAACACGTTTAATAAACTATGAACACTCTTGAGCCCGCTAGCGGTGTAGCTATCTGTCGCTGTGTGCGTTAACTAAACGAATGGGTCAGCAGCACACATGCCGCCTGGACCCACGAATCACAGTCAAGACTGCACGAGGAACGAAGAACTTCCAGTTGACCCCCACAAAATAAGCCCCGAATCCTCTCGGCGCTCCCCCTTTTATTTCCCTGGCCGCGGCCTTGCTCCGCCCTCGGCCACACCTCCTGCTGGGTCAAGTCCGGACCTCCCCGGTCACGTGTCCCTCAAACCACCAATGGAGGCTCCCAGCGCACAGCAGCACTCCAGAAACCGTGGCTGGCACAACAACGCAGTGACCTCGAATTGTCTCTACACCTGTACACCAGGTGAAGTAGTTTCAATGGCTTAATCAGCTCCCAATAAGGACAAGGTGCCACACCCTAGGCAGATAAACAGAGTAATAAAGACAAGGCAAGTGCTGTTAGCACCTATTAAGGCCTGCACAGCACATGCTGGTGTCTATCATGGATGCCCAGCCAGCTTGGTCTCCATTTTTCCACTCTGGGTTAGCATTTCTAAACCCGTTCTGCGCCCCCCAAAAGCAGGTAGCAGTGGTCTTGATTGGGGGGCGACCATACCAACAATGTTGAAAGCCACTGCTCTCAGTACTAATTTCAGGAAGGACCGATGCAGATGGATCCAAGTGCATTGTGCTAATATGCTAGAAAAACATGTACATACAGTACATGTATATATTAGTTACCATTCTAGTGTTGGTGTAGCCAAGGTGCTGTAATGTAGATTGCGATCTGTTTTGAAATGGTAGACCTCATGGCTAAGGGCCATAGGGTTATGGCTTTACACTGGTTTATAGTGGTGTTGTGGAACATGATTAGCAGCAGACATAAGTACAACTCCATTTTTCCACCACATATAACACAATGTTTCAGTTGATCAGCTGCTTGGCATTGCAGAGCAACATGCTTCAACCGGCATTTGTTGAAGCATGCAAACTGGACCGGTTTAGATCTGGGTGTCGGCAGAATCACATTTTATACGAGATCCTCTCTCCATTAATATCTCGTTATCCAGCAGCATGTTTAACATGCCTGACTGCTTATGAGACCCAGGTCAAAAGCAGCCCAGTATTCTTGCTTAAACAAAATTGCTGGGTGATGTTGGTCTGGAGAACCAATAGACTAAGAAATATTTTTATTGACAGAATGGAGTCATGTTGAAATTTGCTTTTAATTGAACAACTCATTTTGTCCCATGGGCAAAAAATGCAAAACTGTACACAGAACTACCGTTTTTGCACTACACAATTGTGACATTTACAGAACAGTTTATTTTACATTTATCATCACAAATTTGTACATTGCATTTTTACTCACCATTATAAACAAATGAAAAATATATATTATTTAAATAGAAATGTAAATATCACAAATGAAATTAATATGTACACGTACCAAATTAATTCGCAATATTTTGATTGAGATGGTCAAATAAACTGCAGTGTCTATTTCTTCATCGTCTGTGCCCAGTCTTTGAGAGGGAAGCGGTTTCGCGTTAAAAAGAGTGAAGACCTGATAATGGATGGTTATTGTTTACAGTCTAAGGGTTGACGTTTTTGTTCAGCCAGAGGATTTGTGGCTGCAATCAGAATAGATAACTTTGTAAATAAGGATGCTACACACCAACTCTTGTAGATATGCACGTAAGCTGTTTCCTGCTGCCCAACATGTTTGAACCTTAATGAGAACGAAAAAGACATTTCGGTGATATGTTACAGTGACATCAACAGAGTGCAATAGTGAAGTTCCTATTCTTAGGTTTTTTCGGTAAAGTCACGTAGGTAAAGCATTAAAATTAATAAAAGTAAAATAAAATAAAAATCACGACGTTTCGGAGGCAACACGAGCTTTCGTCTTCAGGTGGAACCATCACAGCCACGACAGCTGTATCATTTACTCGACAGCTGTATCATTTACTTGATACAGCTGTCGTGGCTGTGACGGTTCCACCTGAAGACGGAAGCTTGTGTTTCCTCGGAAACGTCGTGATTTTTATTTTATTTTACTTTTATTAATTTTAATGTTTTACCTACGTGACTTTACCGAAAAAAACCTAAGAATATGAATCCTTGCAGTCACGAAAGCTTCAAATCTAGAAGAGATGTTCCTGACATAATTTTCAAATCTGTTAACTCATTAGCAAAGCTTAAAATTGATCTCTTGGACTGGGTTGCAACTTACACTAGGGCTGAGGCAGCTGATGTTTAATCTAAAAGCGGCAACCTTTGATCACAGTCAGAAGGGTCAGCCATTATTGTGGATTCTGGAGAGTGGCTGAGTGGCTCGTTGTGCTCCGGGCTCATGACCGCTGGCGTCAACGGCCGGAGGTGGGGGTACGTGGCGAGGAGGAGGCCCAGCGCCGCTGCCACAACAGCCGCCACGGAGCCGAAGGCAATGCGGGGCCCAGCTCTCACGTAGGCTTGGGCCACGAACATGGGGCCGAGCACACGTGCCAAACTCCCGCTTGCGGTCAGCCAGCCCATGAATACACCCTGCATGCTCACCAAGTACACGTGCACACACAAATGTATAGAATTGGTGGAATTATGGTTGTTAATTTTGGTTTAGTGTCACCAGCGTAGAAAACGATGTAAACATCTATGATCAGTTTGCCACACATTTAACATTTTCGCAAGCAAAGTCCACCACCACAGATACAATATTTCAGTTTCATCCTTCAATAAATATCACTTGCATCGAAATCCTCAGGACAAAAAAAGAAGTGACAGCTCACCGACGTTATAACTCACAAACATTTGCATTCCTTATGCAAGCAGATATGTATGGATGCACAGACATAATATCGGGTATGTACACATCAATCATATATGCATGCATGCATGCTCTCAATGTTTAAATAACTCATTGTAGGCTGGGTTTACCTAGGAGAGAATGTATCATTGTCCAGATTCCATTTTACTTCTGCTGCTGTACACTCAGAACAAAAGCTGCTTTTCGCCGCTAAGTGGCATTGATGTTGACACGGCAGTTGTGACAGGCTAGGTGCATGTTGAGACCACGTGGAGTGTGGAAGGCTTGCCAGCAGGTCGTGGGCCAGACCCAGGTGCCATGGGTTGACTTAGATGATAGGCAGATGCACCACTTGCACCCCTGAGTCAATATGCTGCATCTTAGCTGCTAGATTATCCGCTCGTGAGCATCGCTCCTCTGCCGTTGGTGGAGGGCGACTGCCTCCAACTGTCCAATAGCGTCCTTCACGAGCCTCCTCCACAGTGGCCAATCGTGACACCCCTGGTACCAATCTTAGACAAGTCCACTTAGCTCCATATCTTCCTGTACTGCATCAGTCCATCTCTTCTCCAGCCTGTGCTGCGCCCGTTTAGCCCCCTCTATCCGGCAAAACAAGCTGCTTGGCATGTGATGGCTGGGCATGTGAGCTACATTACCCAGGTAACGTAGCCGTGCCTGCCAGAGGAACTAACTATTGGGAATGTTTCAGGATCTTTCAAGGATATGTGAGCTCCTCAATGCAGCCTGGTTAAACCCAGGATGGATCGTAAGCAGGCTAGGATGAATATTTCAAAACAGCGCAGATGTTCCAATCGTGGCCCACGTTTCACAAGCATAGAGAGTAGGGATGGCATGACTGTGGCTGGGAAAACCCAAATCTTTGTGTGGAGCAAGAAACCAGATAGCTTGTGACGAAAATATGCTGCTCGGATGATTCCAAGTGAGACCTCTGCTATCAAACTGGAGTTGGTCATAACCACACTCCCCAGGGATGGACATTTTTCCACTCCACAACTGCCCCATTACTCATACATAAAGACACACATACATGTGTACACTCGTATAGCCTTAACAAACTGTTGGGGCAAGTGCTGTTAGCGAGCGCCTCTGAAGGCCGGCACGGCACACGAGGGGGTTGGTGGCCAGCACTATGCTCAACCGCATGTACATTCACACAAATGCACACACACTCCCGCACCTGTGGTCTGTCTCCTAGAATCTTAGAGTAGAGCGAGTAGGTGGTGAGGGTGCACAATGGGTACCCAGCCCCAATCAGCACAAGGCCGCAGATGAACTGGGCTAATCTGAACAGGATACATGGGGAACAGTGAAATTGGGCTGGACATATTGAACATTAAGGACACACGCAAAGGATGGGAGACACAATATGCACATGGGACAAATATAGTGAATACAGAGGACACTGTCCATTGGTTTTCACTTAGAGTTTTCTTTTTCTAAATGTGCTGTTTCTTTAAAAATGTATATCTTCAAAAGATATCTGACTCTAGACTATGAGATATATACATCCTAATGTTTAAAGAAATACATATACAACGCATTGAATGATAATATATTTTTACATATCCGAATGGATTATTTTACCTGCTACCGATTGTAAACCTAGGAAATTTTAACGTTCTGTTCTGTAGTACACAGGAAATGGAATATATGAGGAACACAGGATCCGTGAAACAAACGACGAAAATAACAAAGTAACCATATTCAACAGTTTTAAGTCTATCTAGATGTAACCTGTGTTAAGATAGGCCCTTAAAGGATGTTAAACAAAAGCCCACAACATCGATTCCAGGGTAATTCCCCAATGCCAGGATACTAGCCTCAGCTGCCTGTAGGACTGCCAACAAAAATCATAACACCTGGCTCGATTAGCCGTCACCTGATGACGGGGACGTGCAGACACCAGGGCTGGGAGATGAAGGGACAGCCCTGACCACTTCCATCATCTGATTTCAACATCTGAACGCTTGGGGCGATAGTGGATAGACCAGTCAGGGAGGCTGTTGTTGAGGAAGGTGACTCTGTGATGTTATCAATGGCTGATGGAAAGACAACAAGGAGAGATGTATGGTTTAATTCACTGGAGAGAAAACATTTGCTATATTAAGCTGAAAAAATGCTGTCGTGGGTGTGTGTGTAAAATTATCTAATCATGGAATGAGAGACAGCAATAGAGGGTACTTATGGTTCATGAACAAGTAGGGGATGGATGGGAAGGAATGGAGTGGCGAAGAAGAGACAGGGCAATAGAGAAGAGGTTATGTAGGGGGACTGCTTAATGTACAGGGAAGTTTATTTTCAGTGGAGGGGTGCAAGGAGGGAGAAGGACTGAACACAGAATTGGGCACAGGCAGAAGGAGGGACAGAAAGAGACACAAGATTGTGAATGAAGAAGATGAGTAGGGACATGGACGAAGATGAGAGAGGCAAGATAAGGTGGGGCAAGGCCTAGAGGTGGGACATGGTGTTAGGTATTTGAAAATACAGCGACAGTAAACGACAAGCCGGTGAAGTGGAGGAGAGGCGCAGTGTGAGTATTGAAGGGAAGATTGAAAATAACTGATGCAAAAGCATTTTTAATCTGTTGGAGGGGAGTGAGAGCAGAGGCAGAGATAACAAAAAGAAAATAATTACATTAGTCCACGTGGTTTAAGATCAGCAAATGAAAAATTATTTTGGCGGTAGAAATTTAAATGAGAGGATGGATTTTCCTGATGTTGAATAGATGAAAGCAGCAGATGCGAGTAGTAGCGGATATGTGGGTGGAAAAAATAAGGGAAGAGTCAAGGTTGACGTCAGAGGAAACAGGAGTGAGAAAGAGAGGAGGGAAGATGGCTGGGATGGGAGGTGAAGAGTGAGAGACCAGATTGAAAATTGATGCTTTCGAAGGATTGAGATTGAGTGAAGCACCTTCCAGGATTGGATGGCAGCCAGACAGGAGGCGATATGAGAAGAAAGGTCAGCAGTAATGAGGGATATAAGAAGATTTGGGTATCGTCAGAAAATAAATGAGAAAAATATGAGGAAAAAATTAGGAAAATATAAAGAAATAATAGATTCAAGAGGCGAAATAAAGAGATAGAATAGTAAGGGACACAAAACCGACATCGGCAAAACACCGACACTGAGAGGGGATGGAGGGGATATAGATTGATTGAAAAAGACTGAGGATGTGAGAGAAGAACGGTAAGACTTGAGCCAAGAGAGTGAGCGTGTTTGATTGAGGTGGGCATATAAGTTTGAGGGAGTGAATGTGTGTGAAAAAGTGTGAGAGAGGTAAAGTGTGCAAGGGGGTGTGTGTACGAGAGTGTGAATGTGTGGGACTGGGTAAGAGTGTGAATAAGACTTGAGCTAGTATAGTGTATAAAACTCTGGATACGTTTTTGAGTAATTTTCCCTCCAATTTTTCCATGAAGCAAGCATATTTTCAGGAGGTAAAATGCAATATTACCTTGAAATCATTTGCAATGTTGATATTGTACAATATTAAAACGCTAACTTATGAGATATGCATTAACTAGATAAGTGGAGTTTAACTACAATGTTACAAGGGTAGAACCAAAAAAAACCGAGAATATTCCCAAAAGAAATCTTTCAAAAATGTTAAATTTCCAAAACAAAATTACATAAAATAAATTAACGAGTCCTCCTTTACCGCTTTGGTGTCAGTTTTTTTTCTCTCCTGCGAACTCAATGCTGTGCAGCAAAATTGCTATGCATTCTATTACGCATGAAATTAAAACATCAGGTGTAATTCATACTTAAAATTTGTAAAATACCAAAGTACGCGGCTTATCTGAGTGTGGGAATTAAGTTGAAGTGTGGTATCATTCATGACGGTAGTAAGGTTGTCAATGGCCATGAAGATATAGATGGTGACGACTGTTTATAATTGAGGGTTCAGTGGTGATGGTGATGACTCTGAGGTCCTCTCACTCTGCCAGGCGAGGGGAGGAAGTTGATGACCCCAGGGAAGTAGCACAACATATCCGGCGAGAACGAGCACCAACCCAACCACCAACAACAACCGCTCGCCTAGCCTGCAACACAAACAGCAACAACAACTATTCCAGCCTGCAACAACAGCGATCACTCTCCCAGCCTGCAACAACCACTGTCCCAGTCAAAAACATTAACAACCATCTTCCCAACCTGCGACAATAACACAACGTTTCACTCGAGAAAACCTTCTGACACGATGTTAAGCAGAAACGTAGACTACTATTGTCATATTTGATATGGAACTCTTATTTTATATCTGGCTAGTTGGAACAAAATCCAGCATAAAACTGTCCACCTGACTGATGAACAACACACACAAATTCACTAGTCACTCATCATCTTTATGCCACCTATGCATCTCTTTGGCTACCACTACTGTCACAGTAATGACGAAGGACAATCTCTTATAATGTATCTATCACCTCGATGTTAGCATCTTGAATGTTGCTCTCTCTCTTGATTCCATCTTTGATTTCTGGGATGTGTTGTACACACTTGGGTTCAATGCGGATTGGAACAATAATTTATCTTATTGCACAGCTCCGCTTTGGAACTCCTTTCAGATGTCTTTCAAACCTCACATCTCCCAACTCGATTAAAAAAATCTCACCACCTGACACTTGCTAGTTTACTCTCCAGTAGTTCACATTTTTAAAGTGCCTTAATTTAGCAGTTGTGGTAAAAAAATAGAAACCGTTCACTCAGTTGCGAATAACACACCAACAACATATTAAGATACATAATTTCAATACCTATGACCATCAACTGTGGTAACATAATCACACAATAAACAATATTTGGTACTGGCAAAGGAGGTCCCATAAAATAAACCATATTAGCACCAATATAAATCATTACAACACTAACATCAGTATTGTAAATTCTTATAAATGATATCAAACTACACCATCCTTAGTGCACCACCATCTCCACCATAAATCCATCACACCAAACAACTTTTATCTTCGCATAACCAATAAACCATTATCATCACATCACTATTGTCACCAATATTGTCACATCGTCGCTGTACTAACACCACCATATTCATCATCACCATCAAACTATTACCGACATCTTTGAACTACCATAACCATCAAAGCAACAGCCTGCAATCACCATCATTGCCAATCACCGTGGGGTGAGGGGCTTAGCAGCCATGAAGACCCCGATGGCCTGCAGTCCCAGGCCAGCCAGGAGGAGACCATCGTAGAGCACGGCCTGACCACGGGACCATGCGAACATGTGCATGCTGAGGGGTGTAGCAATTCTGCACATACACACACACACACAAAACACACGTGACATCACCCACACATCAAATACACATGAAACACATCAAAGACACTCGCACACAAAACACACTCACATGCAATCTTGAATTTGGAGCTTTCGTGACTGCAGGAATTACTCTATGGTTCTTTCGGTAAAGTCACGTCTAAAGATAAAATAGTAAATTAAATAATAACATACGACGTTTCGATTGCAACACAAGCAATCATCATCAGGTATAAATGAAATAGCAACAACATTTTTTTTTAACCAGAAAACTATAGACAGACATATAAGCAGACAGATATCACCAAGATACATAGAGAGAGAGTAACACAGGCACAGAGAGGGAGATTGTCTCTGTAGCGAGGCCTTAAATAGACAGAGGGGGCGGTGTCAGAGAGAGTTGGAGGGGTTAGAGAAAAAAATTAACATGTCAATGAATACGAAGCACGCCTGGTAAAGTAAGCAAGCTTGAACATTAGGAGAGAGGGAGAAAGAACACACTAAATTAAATAACCTAGCAAAATATCGAAATGTTATGTAATACAACACAGTCGGTCAACACACAATTAACGCATAGCCTGGTCGATACACATACGAGACACGTAAGTATGTGCGGGTGTGGATACGTACGTCTCAAATACCGTGAAGATGAAGAGGGTGACAAAAAATAGAATGTTGGAAGTGATCACGGCTAACAGGTTTAAGCTCATCGGCGTATCTGTAATACAAACACAAATGCAGTAATCTCATATGCATACGCAATGTGGACATGCAAATTTACTCCTTACATATATACACTGTCTCTCACGTGCATTACTGGTCTCCGACGATACGTTTTTCTTACGAGCACGCACTTTCTTCACTTCGAATATAAAGAATCACCTCCTGTTTTTCTAAGGATACGTTCAGTTTTCTTTATCAATATGTAATTCACCCGTTTTGTTGTGGCACGAGCTGATCATTTTAATGAGACACAATTGGGAAGGCCTTCATCCAAAAGTGGATTAACCCTGCCTGATTATATGTACACTAACATCAGACTTAAAGATCCATTCTTAGCCTGATGGACACACATACAACGTACAAAAATTCCCTGTATCGCCCATATTGAAAAAATGCTGTTAGTGGGTTACTTTTAGTGGGCACCATGGGGGTGGTATGGCCAAACCTCAGCTTGGCACCTTTGTCTCCGAAGTTCTGATATTTATAGATTGCACTGGATGCTCGCTTATATAACGCTGAGCTACACAGGGACTGCCAAACACCAGTTCAGATATCACAACCACTAAAATTAGCCATTGCCAGGAATCGAACCTTGGTAGCCAGGTTCATAGTGCAGTGAACTAACCACCATTCCCTCACACACGTACACACATTCCTACAATGACACCAACACACAAAGACAATCACACACGGATACATGAAAGCTCTTTGTGGAGGTCTCCACAGAAAACAAAGTGACATCACATCACAGGTGCACTCACTCAACATTAATAAAAAAATATAACTCTGTTTAATCTGAGGTTTGAGTGCACATTCAAGTCCAGGATCTCAGTGGTTATGAGCCCAGTGATCCTTACATGTCAATTTTAAACCCGATGTACCAACTAGCAATCTCTACAATGAATAATTGTGACTCTCACCCGAATCAGCGGAGCTGTTGTCTGTTTTAAATTTTTGTTCCCTGGGCAAGAGAAACACGTGCACATACCAATATCAAAGATCATTCCTTCAGGCTACTGCACTAGCGAGCACATCACAGCAAAACCTCCCAAAGCCGAAGGAATTTGAAAAAGAGCCTCTCCGGTTACAGTGCATGTACTGAATTAGGTAAATAATGAAATGCTGTAATACATAAATACAAATTTTATATATTTACACACAAGTAACACTTCGAGCATTTAAAAAACAGCATAACAATAATAAAAAACGACATGTAACACGTAATATTTTTGTTTCATGATGCAACAAAAAATGATTGTTATTATGACTGTTTATTCCTAATCGCTTACCATCACCCACCATGGAAGACTAATGTGTGAAGTGTAAAGTTGAAGATTCATAAGGCTGAAGATTTTCTGAAGGGCTGGAAGAATTTATTATTTATTTGTAAAATAATGTAAAATGATATAAATGTAAAAAAAATAACCCGTAAAAACAAAGTTTTTCACTATAAATCCTTTATATGCGTGGCATCGGGGCGGCTAGAGTCCTCTCGTCCTCTGGCTTGAGATGGCTGCCACCTATGGGTCAGATGATTGTCTGGCAGCATGAAACAATTGGTAATTAAATATTTAAAAAAATTTCCCTAAACAGTGTAAAATTTTGGAAATTTTTTTTCACGAAAATGCATTGTCACGCACAACGAGTCTGTGTGGAAAATGTCAGCTCGATTGGATCACGGGAAGTGGGTTAAAAAACGATCAAAAGATTTGCACGGTCCGAAGCAAGCAAGCAAGCGAACTTAATATAAAGGATTTAAAAAAGAAAGAAGATTAATCAGAACACAAGCCGCCCTAGTGAACAAGTGCATTGCATTGCATACAACAGACAAGTGCATGTGTACCATACATAGCTTTAGAATTGCTAGCGCATATTCACATGCCATCTCCTGTCATGCACAGCGTAGTTCGTGTGTGAGCAATGTTCTAGTCAGGGTTGTTTGGTTTCTTATTTATTGATTACAGATATCCTCCTAGCCTATCCCTGATTCTAGCTTCCAAATATTTTACGGTATTAAATCAGCAAAGCACACAAGGTGTGCTTCAACTTCTCACCTCCAATTTCGACTTTCCCGCTCTTCCCTTCTCTATCTTACTTTCTCTCTGCCTCTCCTGAGCTTCTCCTTTGTCTTACTTTTCCTCCATCTCCTGTTGCTCCCTCTCATTTCACCCTCCCTTTATTTCCAATTATCTCCTCCCTCTCTCTTCCCACTCTTCCTCCCCTCCCTCTCTTTCCTCTCTCACTCTCCTTGTGTCTCCCCCTTCCCATATCTTTTACCCTTATTTCTCTCTCTCTGCTCGCCTACCACTTCCTCCCCCTCTCCTCGGGCTCGCCACCCCGCTAACCAGAAAGCGCAGGTGACGAGGATGGCGTTGGCGAGGGTGAGTGCGGCTCCAAGCAGCGCAGGCGCCGTATACATGTTGAGCTGCAAGGCAAGTGGGGGCCACGATACCCCCTCCTCGCCCACCCACGTCAGCACCGTCTGCAGCACTGTGTTCACATGGTGCACGCAGACAGGGGTCACAGCTTCGCAGCTCTCATGTAACACATGAGTGTGGTATGTGGTATTCTTGCATGCATTGTTTTGAAGATTATAAACTACTAGCTTATAACTACAAAATACAAGTTTGTGATTAGCTTGACCAATGTTTTCGCAGAACACAGCAAAGAGCAAGCGAAGGATTAAATAAAAAAACTGAATTTGTATTTAATTCCAAAAATTCAAGTGCAGTTTAAGTAAGCTGAATTTGGTAGAGGAAAGTTAATCCCGTTACAATAAAGAATGCAATGTAAATCAATAGAATCGCATGCAGTGTAATAGTTGCTTGCAATGCATTATATGATCTGCATACTTACTCACCTGGGCCGAGTATGAACCCCAGTGCCTGGCAGGCGCTAAGGTTGGCCATAACAGGCGTGCGCTCCTCCATATTGGTGGCCGCCGACGCAAATGCACGCACCACAGCCACATTACCTACATACACACACACATAAGTATACATGCAAACACATACATACATACATGCATGCAAAAAGACAGATCCCCATAAAGTCGCTAAGGTTGGGCAAATGCTCTTAGGGGAGCACCTATTAAAAATGGAACAGTATATAACAGGGTGCTTTTTTCATCATACACACAACACCGGATACTGATTGAGTGTGTGGTATGCGTGTGGTGTCTTGTAAAGAAAGTGTACACGTTGTGTCCTATGTGCGTTGTGTGCATGTGTCATACCAGCTCCCAGACCGAGAAAAATGCGTGCCGCCAGCACAAGGAAGCGTCCCCTCGAGTGCACGGCGTGGGCATACATGTACATGACATGACCAGCAGTGCCCAGCAGCATGGAGGTGAGAAGGGGCATTGAGCTGCCCCTGGCGTTGGCCCATGCCCCCAGGGCAGGGCAGGCAAACAGCTGGGCAAGGCTGTATGATGCCAACACCCAACCCAGGAATGTGGGGCTGCTGGAGGGGTCCACCTGTAGGCGGCACAATGCCATGTTGGAGAACCAAGCTGGCATCTTTGAAGTCCTGGCATGTTGGTGAAGTGAGTTGGCAACTGAGGCCGTTTGGTTAAGAACCCGGGTGCTGGTCTCACCCGGCAGGCTCATTGTGGTCATGCCAAGGTGCTGAATTGGTACCCTTCATGGTGTGCGTTCAACAGTCGGGGCTGTCTTTGTCAGGAGATATGTAATTGTCATGTCAGATTACGAAGCCTGCTGCTTGGTATCTTTTACAGGGTTCATATTGACCATGTTAGGTTTGATAATTGGTTTTTTACCCTTTTATCTGGCAACAAATCTGATACCTTTTTTACAAGGAGTCATGTTTGCATAGTCCACAAAACCTGCAGCCATAATGCAAACAAAAAACATAACTCTGATAATGTATGCACTGTCCTTGAAGTTGATTGGTCCACACCCGAGACAGCTTTCCTTAGAGCCTAGTCTCACATGGGTTGGACCAGATGACGCCAAAAGGCGCATGTTAGGTTTGTGAATTGTTTCTTCACATGACTTGGATTTAAGACATGGGACTGGTTATCTTTCTATCAAAGTTCATACTGGTCAAGTGACCACACTGGGCCAGCACCTATGGGAACCCAGGATTAAGACTCAAGGAAATGTTTCTCTATCTACAATGTCTAAGCATGGAGCCAGTGCAACATACATGACATCATAGAACATGTCTTTACTATATGGGTCACTATGGATAGGCAGTTTCATATGAAAATACCACTGTAAACCATGCAAATAATTTAACTAGTTGTAAATATGTATTAACGCAGACCTTACATACACAACTACAACACACATCTCACCTTTTGAAGGAATGGCCAGATTGAGGACATGACTATAGAAAAACCTGAAACACACGCACATTCACAGGTAATCTTTCATAATTCAGATTGACCATGACAGTGAGCGTCCTGATCCAACACATGTGGGATTCCACTCCCATGCCTACATATTAACCACAGGTATGTAAATAACTGTTCCAATATCAACTGTTCGTGAGCTTAAAATTGTCAAGGACACCACAGAGTAATATTTGAACTCCACCTATAACTACAATATAAATGTCTGTCATGTTTCTGCTCTGAAGGGCCATTGGGTATTATTTAGGTAAAAGGCATCGTTAGTAACACATGTGGCGAGGTCCTGAGCTTATGTTGTACGCCCCTGCCAATGCAGTCCCTTTAATTTTTGTTCTTTATGTGCCTACATACGTATATGTATACAGTGGATTTTTACACGTGGCAATATATAATTTTTACATATGTATATCTCAGTATGTGCCTGCTATATGTGCCAACAGTGGTTGCCTTAATATGTTAAAACATAACTCGAAACGCTCTAGGCTGTTCAGTGTACACTAGAAATCCAGTAAGATCAATTTAGAATAACTGAAGGTGCTAATGGAATCGCCTGTAATTTAGGAAGTGGCATTTCAAATTGAAAATTTGAGATCTGGTTGAATCTGAGTTATTCATTCAACTGCCATATGAATGTGGATTTTCCACATGTGTTTGGAACCACCGATTGAAATAAGCACCACAAAACATTTGTGCATGGAAACACATTGCTGTGAAATCGAGTCTCACCCACACTGCTCAGGAACATGGTGAGATACATGACCCGGATTGAGCGCCATCGCCTCCTGTCCGTCTCCTCCAACAAGGCCTGGACATCATTGAGGTCGCTGGTAACGCACGCATTCACACAGGTAAAGGCAGATACCTCTCAATTCGCCTAAAAGCGATAGGGGAAAGTTCTGTAAGCAAGCATTATGGCACACGAGGAGGCCGTGTGGCCTCCACCATATCCAACAACCCATTTCTCCCCAGTGCCTGTGTTTTTTTTATTATTACACGCTTTTATTTAACTCAATCTGTCTGTTGTTGTTGTCGTATCCTCAAATCTTGTAACTCAATTTTAACCCACTTCCCAATGTGATATCGACTGCAAACTTGGTATACTTATGTCATACTGATGACAATACTATATTCTATCAAAAAAAAGTTTTTTAAACATTCATTTTTATATGTTATGTTTTGGCTTGTGTCTAATTGTCCACGCTCAACTCACGTTGGCTGTAAATCACCACGGTCCCTTACGTTATGGCAAGCCTCGGGGCCACTTCCTGGAGTCGTGGAGTTATTCCATTACTAGTGCGGTACATTTCATTAAAGCGTGTTTTAAAAAAAATATTTTTAAATATTACTTATTTACAGCTCACACAGACCAGGTTTCTCATTTAAGGTAGATTTAACTTCGGGGAGGCCTCGGATCCGTTTGGACACCACCTGCTGCTGATATTGTCCATGGTCCGGGAATCAAAATGCATTCACTCGGTTCATAGCAACGGTGGGCTACGGGGCCGTCCATAAATGACGTCACGCGATTTTGGACGATTTTTGACCCCCTCCCCCTCGTCACACGGCGTCACAAAAAGTCAGACCCCCCCCCATATATGACGTCACAAAGCTCTGCGCCCCCCCCCCAAATAAAACATGCTTCAAATCGCTTTAAACTATTGTCATTGTAGTGCGTATTTAATGTGGCTCTGCACTCTGATGTTGGAGAAAACATTTATTAAAAAGTCTATTTAATTAAATAGAACGTGTTGTCTATATTTATTTAAAGTTGCGCATTTTGATGTGACGTCACATTTCTCAAACCCCCCCTCGTCACACATCGTCACAAATGTCTGACCCCGCCCCCCCCTAGGTACGTGACGTAATTTATGAAGTGACGTCACATTTCTCAAACCCCCCGTCACAAATGCCTGACCCCGCCCCTCCCCTAGGTGCGTGACGTCATTTATGAAGTGACATCACATTTCTCAAACCCTCCCGTCACAAATGCCTGACCCCGCCTCTCCCCTAGGTGCGTGACGTCATTTATGATGTGACGTCACATTTCTCAAACCCCCTCGTCACAAATGCCTGACCCCGCCCCTCCCCTAGGTGCGTGACGTCATTCATGAGGTGACGTCAAATTTCCAAACCCCCTCGTCACAAATGCCTGACCCCGCCCCTCCCCTAGGTGCGTGACGTCATTTATGAAGTGACGTCACATTTCTCAAACCCCCTCCCGTCACAAATGCCTGACCCCGCCCCTCCCCCCCAGGTGCGTGACGTCATCTGTGCACGGCCCCGACGTACGGTGCGAAAGAATGTCACCGTCCGTTGCGCAGTGCGTGAAGCGCTGTGCCAGAGCCGCTCCGCCACTGGGCACAGACGCGTCTCTCGATGTACCGACACCATATTCTTAGGTGTTTTCGGTAAAGTCACGTAGGTAAAACATCAAAATTAATAAAAATAATTAAAAAAAAATAAAGATCACGACGTTTCGGAGGCAACACAAGTCTCCGTCATCAGGTGGGACAGTCACAGCCGGATTAGCTGCATCAAGTGAGGCAATGATTCAAGATGTAATCCCTTAAAAGCGAGTTAAGGGGGGAGGAGAGGGGGGGGCTCATCAGAATGTGGTAGCCAATGAATGGCTGATGCAGCTAATCCGGCTGTGACTGTCCCACCTGATGACGGAGACGTGTGTTGCCTCCGAAACGTCGTGATCTTTATTTTATTATTTTTTATTAATTTTGATGTTTTACCTACGTGACTTTACCGAAAACACCTAAGAATATGATTCCTTGCAGTCACGAAAGCTTCAAGTCTAGTACCGACACCACTTTACGGACACCAAGAGAGAAGACTGCGCTGCGCGGAACTGTAAGAGGTCTTTAATTGCCCCGTGCCTGCCCCCCCCCCCCTTCGTCCGGAACTCGCTGATCCTCTGTAAGCTGTGCTCTCATGTCTATGGCGAATCACGGGTCTCTGGAGCAACAACCACTGCCGCTCGCACACAAACTCACAACCACTGGCTCTGCCTTACCCAACACTTCTAACCTCTCTCACAACAATAACCGGCCATTCGCCGCTGAGTGAGGGGTGCCAGGCTAGGTGCACCTCACACACGGACCTTTGGCTCTGCCTCTCTCAACGCATGCACTGACGCCACTGCCCTGTCACGGCAGCGCGTACAGACAACCGCCAACTCTCTGCTTAACGCGGCGACTTTGGCGACCAATATTATCCATAACACAGGTGGTGTTGTTTTTCTCTCTCACACACAGCTACGCACACAGACACGCGTGCCTCTCTCTCTCTCTCTTGGACTCAGCACTCACCAGTTGGCTCCGAGGAGCGGCCTCTCGTCCCCACCACCGCCGCCACCGCCATCGCCAGACATCGCTACCCAAGTGACCTCCGACCCCACGGGATCGGCCACCACCGTGCGACCTCCCCCCCCACCCCTCCTCCTCTTCCCCCCCACCCCTCCTCCTCTTCCCCCCCACCCACCCCTCCTCCTCTTCCCCCCCACCCCTCCTCCTCTTCCCCCCCACCCACCCCTCCTCCTCTTCCCCCCCACCCCTCCTCCTCTTCCCCCCCACCCCTCCTCCTCTTCCCCCCCACCCCTCCTCCTCTTCCCCCCCACCCCTCCTCCTCTTCCCCCCACCCACCCCTCCTCCTCTTCCCCCCACCCACCCCTCCTCCTCTTCCCCCCCACCCACCCCTCCTCCTCTTCCCCCCCACCCACCCCTCCTCCTCTTCCCCCCCACCCACCCCTCCTCCTCTTCCCCCCCACCCACCCCTCCTCCTCTTCCCCCCCACCCACCCCTCCTCCTCTTCCCCCCCACCCACCCCTCCTCCTCTTCCCCCCCACCCACCCCTCCTCCTCTTCCCCCCCACCCACCCCTCCTCCTCTTCCCCCCCACCCACCCCTCCTCCTCTTCCCCCCCACCCACCCCTCCTCCTCTTCCCCCCCACCCACCCCTCCTCCTCTTCCCCCCCACCCACCCCTCCTCCTCTTCCCCCCCACCCACCCCTCCTCCTCTTCCCCCCCACCCACCCCTCCTCCTCTTCCCCCCCACCCACCCCTCCTCCTCTTCCCCCCCACCCACCCCTCCTCCTCTTCCCCCCCACCCACCCTCCTCCTCTTCCCCCCCACCCACCCCTCCTCCTCTTCCCCCCACCCACCCCTCCTCCTCTTCCCCCCCACCCACCCCTCCTCCTCTTCCCCCCACCCACCCCTCCTCCTCTTCCCCCCCACCCACCCCTCCTCCTCTTCCCCCCCACCCACCCCTCCTCCTCTTCCCCCCCCACCCACCCCTCCTCCTCCACCCCCCCCCACCCACCCCTCCTCCTCCACCCCCCCCCACCCACCCCTACTCCTCCCCCCACCCACCCCTACTCCTCCACCCCCACCCTCCTCCTCCATCCCCCCACCCACCCCTCCTCCTCCCCCACCCACCCCTCCTCCTCCACCCCCACCCCTCCTCCTCCACCCCCCCACCCCTCCTCCTCCACCCCCCCCCCCCACCCCCCTCCTCCCCCACCCACCCCTCCTCCTCCACCCCCCCACCCCTCCTCCTCCACCCCCCCACCCACCCCTCCTCCTCTTCCCCCCCCACCCCTCCTCGTGCCCCTCCACGTGGCCCTGAAACAGCAAGGGGCCCTCCATGATGGGCGGGGATCGGCGAGTCCCGAAGCATCGCAACAACTCTTCACGCTCATTCTAAAAGCTGCGTAAAAAGGCTCAAAAGCTGCAGGGAGGGGCTGGGTGGGGAGGGTAGGGCTGGGTGGGGTGGGGAGGGTGGGGCTGGGTGGGGAGAGGCTGGTCACCCCGTGGTGCCCTTATAAAACTCAACGTTTAACCTACTCACGCCGGCTTGTGCCCGCCCTCAGTCGGGCAAATTTGCGGAATACACCACGCCGCCGTTGACCCTGGCCATTGACCGAGCAACCCAACGTTTCTACCAGCTCTCTCCGCAAGAATGTGTTCATTTTGGGATCTGGGAGGCTGAATGTAGGCTCGTTCGTAATGCTTTTCTGGGTACGTTACAATGTTTACCCCTGCACCAACTTTCACTGTGCTTAATCAGTGAATCAATCACTCGTATGGTGACACCCACCACAACTCTACTGGTCCCCCCCCCTCCTTCCAAGAGGAGCTGGAGCCGAGTATAAATCATCATCTATCATGTCCTGGCCCCACATCGCACGTTTACTTCTATCAGGTTTGATTCTTGGGTTATATGCGGATTCAAGTGTCAAATTCTCCCCATACTCATCATATCTGGTTGAGAATGAACGACGTCCATTCCGCCCAGATGACGGCGGTGCTTACACGGTAGAGCCCCCGTGAGGTGCGGGCTACCGTCTTCCACACAAATAAAGTTACAGGGTACCTCGATATACGAAGTAGTTGCGTTCCTAAAGCTTCCTTTGAATATTAAAACATAGTTTATTGCATAACGTATGGCATTAGTACTATGAGGATGCGTTCCAAGCCTTCGTAACTTATCATTTCAAACGTTCAACAACTAACATTCAGGTGAAAACATTTTATTTCACCAGCCAATTAGCTACATTACTCTTTTTCAGAAGTGACCTGGCCACAAATGATAGCCCCAACGAAGTGACTTATCTTGTGTACATTTATAACAGGCAAATATACTCCAAACGCACGTTTTGTAAATGTAGAGGGGGAATAAGTATAACCCGTAAAAACAAAGTTTTCACTATAAATCCTTTATATGCGTGGCGGCTAGAGTCCTCTCGTCTTCTGGCTTGAGATGGCTGCCACCTATGGGTCAGATGATTGCATTGCACCATTAAGCAATTGGTAATTAAATATATTTTTGTCCTAAAAAGTGTAAAATTTTGGAAACATTTTTTCACGAACATTAATTGTCACGCACAACGAGTCTGTGTGGAAAATGTCAGCTCGATTGGATCACGGGAAGTGAGTTAAAAAACGACCGAAAGATTTGCACGGTCCTAAGCAAGCAAGCAAGCGAACTTAATATAAAGGATTTAAACAAGTATAACCCGTAAAAACACAGTTTTTCACTCTAAATCCTTTATATGCGTGGCATCGGGGCGGCTAGAGTCCTCTCGTCCTTTGGCTTGAGATGGCTGCCATCTATGGGTCAGATGATTGTCTGCAGTATTAAACAATTGGTAATTAAATATTTAATTTGTTTTCCCTAAAAAGTGTAAAATTTAGGAAAAAAATTTTCACGAACATTAATTGTCTCGCACAACGAGTCTGTGTGCAAAATGTCAGCTCGATTGGATCACGGGAAGTGGATTAAAAAACGACCGAAATGTTTGCACGGTCCTAAGCAAGCAAGCAAGCGAACTTAATATAAAGGATTTAAAAACCGGAGGGTCTCGGATAAAAATCCACTCAACCACGGGGAGGGAGACACCGCAGACTCCAAATCTCCAGCAGGCGTCAAGGGTCGAGATCGAACCCACGACCACCCTCCCGCATACCAGGCGAGCAAGTAACGTAACAGAAACTGACATGAATACAATAAACGGTGTACTGTGAAATATATTCACACTCACCAAGATTAAGTCTCTGTGCAATCATACAGTTCCATTGCCCACCAAACGCCAAAAGCTTCGTAACGTAGCGATTGGGCGAGACAAATGTTACAATTCCTCGCGTGAAAGAAACCGTGTTATAACTTTATTCTTATTAATACAGTATATTGGAGTAACGTAAAGAGATTTTGAAAACAATGTATTCATTTAAGTGCATGCTATTTAACATCTTCCATTTATATAATTGTATACAGTACTGAAACTTCGTATATCGAAAATTGGCATGAGGTATTGGTGGAGTAAACCACTGCAATCTGCAATGCTTCAACGACCGAGGTACTGTATAGCGACACATTGCCATACGCAAAAAAAGCGTTTGGGAAATGTTAAGTCAATGGGCAATGTAAGTCTATGTTCCATCAGCAGAGTAGCACTACCTAATACATGTCAATCCCATACTGTTTACCTGTATTATTGTACAAGGAAATAGATTGTCAGGTCGTTTCAATACGGGCAACATTTCGTATATTTGTGTTTCTCCTCTTGTAATGGGACTTTTTAGGATGAACGTTGAGATGTATAAGGGCACAGGGTGACCAATAAGGTCTGTAATAAGTTAGGCGCTGATAAGGGGTTGTGTTTGGGAAATGTTAAGTTAAAATGTTAAGTTCGTGTACAATGTTACGTCAATGGGCACTGCAAGTCGATGTTCCTTCAGCAGAGTAGAACTTTTACACGAAGCATCTATGCTCCTGAACATTATCGCTGCTATCCCACAACAAGACGAGGAAACAGAATGGCCCCCTGACTGCACATGGCCAAGTGGCTTCTCGTTGCAGCCACGTGGTGGCAGCCGCGCGTCACGTGATCGTCACTCCACCCCCCCCTGCCCCGCCCCCCGGAAGTCCGGAACATTTAACTCCACCCATGTGCAAAAATGTGCAAAATATGTTCCGGGCCTCGTGAAGAAGGGGAGAAAAAGAAAACGGTGAATACAATTATCCTCTACAACTACGGTATCTCAACATTCGATCGTCAATATTTCTTGGCAATAATTTTTTTTTATTACCGCGTATTTAAAAAAAAAATCGGATGTAAACGTGAGCACCCGGAATAACAAGAGGGTTGTCAGGACCACTTCCGGGAGCACGCACTACAACAAGATGGCGACCCCTATGCACAGGCTTCTTGCTCGCAGGAAAGCGTAAGTCGCGACTTTAACTTTTTAAACTTAAAAACCGCAGCGGTGTACTCACGTCGACGCTTTACCGGCGACTGTAACGCGTCGTAGAGCTGCACGATCTTTCAGTGTTCGTTCAAGGTGCGTACGAGTGGCGTAGTGCGTGTGTTTGGTTCGTCGCCACGCCAGTGTTGTCAGCAAGTGGGAAGAGGCCGGATTTTGATTAAAAAAAAACATTTTATTGAAGTTTAAAAATCTCAACTGAAATACACGCAGCTCTTGATCAGTGGATACACGCATTGAATGCGAGTCCTAGGATGTCAGTCCAGCGAGAGGTTCTGGCTTCCCTTTACGTTCGCATGCGCGTAAAAGTGCCATGTTTTGAACGTACGTCGCTTAAGCGCTTCCGAATTTATAAAAAAAACACTTGCGATGGACTCTCGTGGCCGCTGTACGGACGTAACTGCTGTAGTAATGTCCAATAACATTTGTTTTAAGTAGATCAGATGTTGGCCTGCTTAATTGCTGCTGCAAACTTTGGTCCAAAGCAAAATGTATTTTGTCTTATTACCCAAAGTTCACCACTATAGCACAATACATTTAACACAACTTTGCTAAATGTATTGCTTGGTATTTACTTTTGCTTAAAGCTTGTAGTCTGGTCAGCTGTATTTACAGCCTTTATTATGGTTGTGTTGGCTGTATGTGCAAACAATTGTCTCGTCTGCAGCAGGTGTGCTCTTGGATTTCACTAACTTTTGTTCATGGCTATGGGGAGATCGGGTAAATTTTTCACATGCAAAGACATTTTCACCAAGAGTATTCCTGGCCATACACATAAGTAGCAAATATGAATCGTATATTAGGTTTCTCCTAGGACATTAAATGAGTCATGGTTTGGTGTATCGGGTATGGCACTGTGGATTGAGTCATATCTGCATGGTCGATCACAGTTCGTCAAGTTGGGTGACGAACAGTCATTGCCTATGCCGTGTGTAGTTGGCGTATCACTGGGGCCCACCCTCTGGACCTTCCTATTTTCATCATACGTCTCTCCGATTGCCGATGTCATCTCATCGCGTAACATAATGTTCCATTAATATGCTAATACATAATTGTGCACAACCCAGTGAAGTCAAAGTTAGATATGGAGGGTCAGACAGTTACAACAGGAAACAATACAAAAACCGATATGAGTGAAAGTAACTAAAATAATTAATATACAAGTACATTTCGATTTAAAGCTTTCGTGACTGCAGGGATTCATCTTCTTGGTTCTTTCGGTAAAGTCACGTAGAAGGGAAGTAATAAAATAATAAAAATAAAACATAATAAAATAAAATAATTCTCACGACGTTTCGGCTACAACGCAAGCAGCCGTCTTCATCATCCTGAAGACGGCTGCTTGCGTTGTAGCCGAAACGTCGTGAGAATTATTTTATTTTATTATGTTGTATTTTTATTATTTTATTACTTCCCTTCTACGTGACTTTACCGAAAGAACCAAGAAGATACAAGTACATGTGGTATACGGAGGCAAACACTGGAGTTGGAGGCAACACGTTTATTTAACGACCCAACAGGACTAACTACATGAACGTACACTGGTTCTACATCTAGGTGATAACTACACGGTTAACTAGACCACAACGGGGTAACTACATAACCGGGTCAGTCAGTAACACACTGCCTGACCCACGATGCCGAGCGTGACATCGAAGACCGAGGATCAAAGAGACGAGGCACGGACGGGTTCCATTCCTGGCTCCGCCCTTGGCCACGCCCCCTTCTAGATCCTACTAGAAGGCTCTGGCCCATATCACGTGTCCCTAGAGCCCCCCCTTTCGGGCCCCCTTGCTACCCTGCCCCGGTCACGTGCCATCTCGAGTTCACACAGCACGTCCTCACTTGCTCTCTCTCCGACCCTCACCAGAACTATGCCCCTGAGGGCCCGCTTCCATGCCATATCCACTCTGGTGCCAGAGAGAGACTCAAGACGTACAGTTCCACTCTTGTGACAGTAGCTGGTGCTAACACCATAGTGACACCATCCAAGTCAGTTTAACACGTAGGCTTTCGCGACCAATGTTATTCATAATCAACGTTTTTGGGTTTAGATCGCGTTTATTTATAAATGTTCCAAATGATTACTAATCTACAACTTGCATCGTAACAATAGCCTGATTACTAATCTAGTATAAAATTACAATCACTCCCCCCTTGAATCTTTGCACCTGATGAGTTAATGAGTTAATGATGACGTCACCCTGCTGCTGCTCTATATAAGAACGGGAGACAGCAGAGCCTCACCATTCTGGCGAATTGCCCGATGATGCTGGTTGCAATTACCAGCGAAACGTCGTACTCAAATTGTAAATGTTGTGGCTTCAACACACCGGTGGGCTAAAACAGTGAACTATTTGTCTTTGTCAACGTGACACATTTTTACTGATTGGCCGTGTCGGGTGGTGGAGGGTTACGACACATTTATAAATAAACGCGATCTAAACCCAAAAACGTTGATTATGAACCATCCAAGTCACTACACATGAATAAGAGCATACACTCCTGCCGTTTTTTCAACACCAAATGCAAGCTAGGGCAAAGCAGCAAAACAACTGTCCCAGACCATTCCTAGACAAGACACTCCATACAATTGCACATTAACATTTAAATATCGATACATGGGTAAGGATCAACGTTAAAATCGCATTTGCAAATGTGATTATGCAGCACTAATCTTCTGTTTCAGAATATTTTCTGAGGAATTATTTACGATGTTAAGGGAGGAAACAAGAGTGTTCCATAACGTTGGTGCTGCAACGTCAAAGGCTTTGTCATGTATTCCAATTTTCGTTCTTTGAATAGTTAGGAACTAATCTTGTATTTTAGGCAGCATCAGCTGAGTTAAAACCACATTAACATGCCGTTACACGTTAATGTGCCTGTATGTATGTGTGTGCCCAGGGATGCAGACAAAGAAACCGTGCGGTGTCAGAAGTGCCTAGAGCTGGGCCACTGGACATATGAGTGTTCGAGCACACGTGCCTACAAGCAGCGACCCACACGAACCGCTCTGCTCCAAAAGCAGCTGAAGGAGCTTTCACAAAGGCCAGCTCTGCCCGTGCCACCTCCACCCAGCACGTAAGGACATTCTTACACACGCACACATTCAAACACGCATGGTACGATCACTGCTATTCGCCACGAAGTGACGGTGACATCGCCATGTTGTTTGTGCCAGGCGAGGTGCACTTTGAGGCCACATGAAAATGTCGAAAGCTTTCTGGCAGGAAATCATGAGAAAGGCCTCTGTGTTTTTGATTAAGTGTTGTAGGTTACTGACAGACCCACCACATGCACTTGCTACCGTGCCACCTTGCTCTGATTTAGCCACCCGGCGCGCTACTCATTGTTGCGAAGGTTGTTCCTCCACCGTTTTCTGTTGCTCGAGAGCTGCTACCACCCAACTGCCCAGTAGTGACACTGTTGGTTCCAGTCATCACCAAGTCTACACATTTCCAGGTTCTGCTGGATTATTCTTGGAGTTCTACTGGATTAACCATGTTAGATTTTATTATGATAGTCATAATAATTGACATTAACTACAGAAGTAATTGACTAACTAAAAAACGCTGCCAAGTTGAGCTAAAGATAAATATGAACAAACAAATATGAGGTACAGCAAGCTGTTAGAAAATAATTATTGGAGAAACAACTGGAAAAGAAACAGACTAAATCTGGAAGTTATTGAGGTGACACGTGATTTAAATAAAAAAACATGTGCACTTCCACATGCATACTTGCATACACGTAAGCACATATGCTCATTCACATCTAATGAAACACATGTACACGAACGCGTACATTCAAATACATACACCTGTCGAGTGAAATAAATAACATTGTCTAGAGTATAATTGAATATTCACAGTAACCCATTGAAACAAGATTCTTATGATATTGTCGCATGCAACGGAATGGTTGAACACACCGGTAAACCGCACATGGGAATATGACTTTAATTCAAGTAAGTCTTTTCTTTATAAAAATCCAGAATACCAGTGCAACTTATACTGTTATGAAGAAATGGTATTAATCAGAAAGCAAGTTAGGCAATGCTTTGTATACAAAATCAATCAACATAAAATAACACAATCGAAAGTAGTAAATATATATGCACGACTAAAAATGTATATGGACTTAATACTACAAACCCAAAGTAGATGGATGGATTTTTAAGCACAGTCTGTTATCCTTAGTCACAGGCGATGAGCAAGCGTCTAGGAATCATTGCATACAATGCCTCCTTCGATGCAGTGTAGATAGATGTAAACAGCATGATGCTGAAGCGAAACAGCCATATGCTTGCAGTGGCGGATGGCAGCACTGCACAGCGATGACAGTGATAAACTGGCAGCTGATGAACGATGGCTCTGCCACAGAGATGACACCGTCACGATCGTTGATGACTGCACAGCAGCGGTGCTATCAGCGCTGAATTCTGACAGTGTAGGCACAATCTTCTCTTGGACGTAGCCAGCACAATACTCTCATGATGAGTAGTGGGCCATTGATCACAGCAGTGTATCCTCTCCCCATCAGGTGACAGCTGGAGATATATCTTCACCGTGATGATAGTCGACAGACTTGTAGTTATAAAGTCACTATTTAGCTCGTGTTGAATATGGCTTGTTACTTGATTTGCACAGTTCAATGCAATAGATCAGGGGTGGCCAACCTTTAACCCCAAGAGCCAAAAAGTACCTGTGAGATCTGCAAAGAGCCAAGTGTATATATAAGTGCATATATATTGACAGTTTTCAGCACAGCACGGGAGACATTCACTATTATTTGTTACTGTGATTTTGTGTTCTACGTTATGCCCCTTCGATAGAGCTGCATGTGGTGAATTAAAAAACCACATGTAGCTAGGGAGACACCAGTTGGCCACCGCTACAGTAGATGTTCTTGCCTCTGTGGATCTTCTTGAGTCCTACTTACCTCCACTTATTCAACAACTCTTTACACGTTCACTCTTCTCCACTATTTCTCCTTTTCTGCTTCTGCACTGCCTTCTACTATGAATTAACTGATATTTCTTTGTCTTGACAGCGTACAGTCATGCCTCGTGATGGGGCAGCCTTATAAATGGCATGAGCTATTATGCTCGGTCGACGTGGATCACACAGTGCCGTAGTCACTGTTAGTCTGCCCACAGTTCAGTGGTGGCATGCGTGGATATACTAAAATCATGAATTGACCAATGTATACATATTGTTTATTTTATTTTTCATTACATTTTTCCCATGAGAAAGAGCTGCCTCTTTCCAACTCATGAAAACTTTCAGAGGTAGATAGTGTTTGTTTATCTTGACACAGCTGCGAACCATTCATTTCATGATCACTTATGTGCCCAAGTCAACTCTAAATGCTGTGTCGTGACTCATGCCATTTTGACTTCAGTTTATGGCCTCAAGCCCTCTCAATGGAAAAGGCTTATACAGAAAAAAACGTTATGCAACCACATAAACGAATGCATAATTATACTTAACTAATTTGTTCAATGGTATTCCCTGGTTGTTTAATGAAAATTGTCATTTCATTGATGTGCAGTGATGCTATTCTACATAATCTTTTGTTTTTACTTTACCTGCTTTGTGAATTACAGTGTCGTGGAGGAAAAGATAAAAAAGGCAAAGTCGAAGACAAAGTCAAAGAAACGGTACAGGGGATTCACAAAAGTTACGCGGTGGCACTAAGCCAGGTTCTTATATGTGAGGTTGGAATTATAGAAATTAATGTCTTTTTGCTCATAAATTTACAGTACCAAGCCAGCAACTCTTAAGTGCATGGGTTCGTGCCCTGAGGCTAGGTGTCTGTCCTTCGGGCTCATAATGGATGTATTGGAGCACTGAAATTTCATCCTTAGTGTCTGGGTGCAGTCTTTGGACCTAGACAATGGTTCCTTTGTACTGAAGCATTGAGCCAGAATAATTTAGATGGCGTACATGCATACCATTTTAGCCTCTTTAAAGATGATGTCTTAGAGGCTGCTGGATTTGTTCATGCCTTTTAAGTATGTTTGGGAATGTGTGAGTTTTTCCTGTGACACAATATTGCAAATGATGCTCATGATTGTGACATGATACGGATGATGCTATTGACACTGCCTGTGATATGATAATGATGCACTTAGCATGAACAATTAATGCTGATAATCAGTGGATTGGATTTGGGCATTCAAGTTGATGGGCATATTTTCAAAAAGGGTACACAATTTAATTTTAGAATTACAGTAAATTAGGCTGCGATAATTTGTTCATATTTTTTTTCTTAAAATATTTAACTTCGAAGATCCCTTGAGATGGAAGAGACTGGGGAATGACACTCAACGGAGGGAATGTGCCCAGAGGGCAACCATCGTGTAAAATGGGACTAATGAGACCGGATAATTTGCAGGAGCGAAACTAATTGTGGCATTGCAAGACCATGATGATGGTGATAATGAGGGGAGACCTTCATCCAGCAGTAAATACATCATGGCTAATGATGGGATATTTGCAAATAACATTGAAAGATAATTGTTAACGGTTGAATACATGGACAGTTGATGTGAGAATAGATGAGATTTGCTTGTAATTAGCTATCATTTAGAGCAGGGGTGCCAAACTCAATCAGACAGTGGGCTGGTTTGGATTCATATGCACCTCCCCGTGGGCCACAGTAGGGCCTATGAAAATTAAAAGCATAATACAGTATTAATGTACCGAACATTGGCTGGATAAAAACGATATCCAAATTCACATCAACAACCCACGTCATGTCTAAACACATTAATGCATACAATGAAATGTATAGCTACTCACTTAGTGCTGTGGCTGCTTTCTTTGTGATGCCTGACACCTCTTCATTTGGACCACTGTCTGGAAGTTCAGAACAAGTGACTGGGCTGTTGCAACCTTTATTAGAGGGTTTAGGTGTGCGTCGGTAAGATGCGAAACACAGTTTTGATTTGTCCACGTTCATAATGGAGAACAGCTGTTCTTTGATAACATTCAGCTATTCGATTTATATCACAATAAAAAAATATATATGTTCCCGCATGAGAAAAGAGAGTTTATTTCTTTTTTTGTGGCAAGGTGCGTGAAATCCCTTGTTTTAATATCCAATTGAATTTTGGTTGAATTTAGGTAGAAGCTGAGGTAGAAGGCAGACACTCAATACGTGAATTGTGCTAGGAACTTCAGGCTCTGATATGGTTATTCTGTTGTAACAGTGCTAATGATGAATTTTGGTGCCTTTGATCTTGATGTTGGGCCTCGTCTCTTTCAGGGCTCACAGTGTCAGCAGCAGCAGTGACAGCAGCAGCAGCGACAGCAGCAGTAGCAGCGACAGTGACAGCAGCTCATCGAGTGACGATGACGACACCTCATCTTCATCATCGTCATCCTCGTCATCATCTTCTTCCTTGGACTCGGATAGCGAGGACTCGTCATCAGATTCAGACTCGTCATCCTCCGATTTGTCATCCTCATCATCCTCATCGTCGGACAGCTCATCCGATGAGGGGGGAAAGGATGAGGACCCACCAGCCAAGAAACGGAGGCGCAAGAAACGGGAATGATGTGGTACACAGGACACACACGGCGCATACACGCGCAATACATGAATACATTACTCATGCAGTATAAGCAGAGCACCTACATAACGCAGAGACCACGCAGTAAACATTACACAGGGGACACATTGTACATGCATTGTACACAAATACATTTGCATGCTACACTAAGCGTGCACATGACATGCTGTAGACACTGCACAAAGTACACACAATGTGTACTGTTCACATGGTGTGTGTTAGGCATGAAACAATTTGCGCTCACGATTCAATAAATGGTGATGATACGTTTCCATTGCATTTTTTTGTAACTGGTGATTGTAGCACCTCTAATGGCTGCAGGGTTTGCATACCGCTTATACAAATTAACCATTTTTATACGTACAATCTATTGAGAGCCTAATAATTCATTTTAATTTATCAATGGATTAGTCTGTACATACCTGCAATGAATGGAACGTGCATTAAACACTGCACAAAAGTGTACACAATCCAAAACATTCGTATTGCTCAAAGTACCCGCAGTGCAAATGTGTATGATACATCTGTAGTATACACAGGACATGCAATGCATTTGGTACAAATGAAAGGATGTGACCAAGTCGAGTAGCTGCTCCAGACAACCCCCTGGCCTTACCCTTCTGTCCTTGTTTATCCCCAACCAGTTTCACCACCCTCTGTTAATTCCCAATTACACAATTCACCCATCAACTGCCTGTACACCTGTTGCTATGATGTATGCCGGTGCAGACTACCACCTCCAGCCCCATCATTACCCAATTGTCTTTGATCGTTCATCTCTACACGTATATTACGATCCACATAGTGTGCATAGAGTAAATCACAGTATACACTGTGCATGCTAATGGTGGTACAGTAATCCCTAGCTAACCGCGAGGGTTAAGTTCATGAAAAGGCACGCGGTTGGTAAACTTAAGATCTAATGGGGAAATTAGGGTTAGGGGGGACCGAAGTCGCAAGTGAACCTATGAAATCCCGTTAAAAATATTTTTATGTTCACTAAAATGAACCAATTAACACAGCACACTTAATGAAGAGAATTACAGTGATATTTAAGAACTGTTTAATTAATACAAGTACAGTAATTAAAATTGCATTTGCTTTTGATGATGATCATGATGGGGTGATGGGAGAGAGAGGTGGATTGTTATTGGGAAGAGGAGTTCTCTGGACCCTCTTCTTCTTCTTCCATCTCCACATTGTCAGGGTCGTCTGGCTCCAAATCCAAATGTGGATTCAGGCTTGAGCAGGCTTATAAGCTATATAGGGTGTCTTTGAATGCCACTGCACGATGATTGAGGCTCTTCTGAAGGCGCTTTCTCCACCCTTTTTAAGAAAGCGTGCAGTGTAGGCTGAGTGGTCTCTTTAAAATGTCTCTTTGCACCTTATAGGCCCGTAGAACTTGTCTGAAGGTCAATATATGCTCAATGAAGTGATCGATTTCCATTCCGTCATCAGCGATGTTTTAAGCCTGGAGTAGGAAATTGTTCAAGCGTTTTAAAGTCTGCTTCGTTTTTGTTGCGAATTCCTCTTCATCATCACTGATGCAATCAGCTCTTCGAGGTCTTGTTCGGTCAACTCCTGAGAGTGCGAGTCCAGAAAGTTACTTGACTCAATGTCGAATCCTCCCCCCAAACGTTTTGCAGATGCTACACTTTTTAAATGTTTCCTCCAACTTAGGGAAACCCACAAAATAATTTACGACCTGAGGCCAACGTTTCCACCATGCTGCATTAAGAGTGGATTGTTTGATTTCATCCCATGATGTTTTTTTTTATGATTGTTAATGCATGAGCGATGGTGTAGCCTTTCCGTGCTTCTTTCAACATGAGGCGAGGGCTCTTTTCAATGAGATCTGCAATGTGGTCGAATGTGCGGTGGGTGTAACAACTCTTGAATATTTCGATTACACGCAGATCCATGGGTTGAAGGAGTGAAGTCGCATTGGGGGGCGAGGAAGACTTCAAGTTAGGATGAGCAAACACTAATGACTCGGGTGACCGGGTGCATTGTCGAGAATCGGCAACACTTTGCAATTTCTTTCAGGTAACGTTCAACTTCATGAACGAAACAGTTATTAAACCAGTCCATGAAGACAGCAGCAGTCACCCATGCATTTCTGTTTGACCGCCAGAAAACACGAAGATGTTTCTTGGTTTTCCCCTTCAGGAGCATGAGGGTTAAGGGCTCGGTAGAGTAACATGGGTTTCACCATGAAGTCACCTGAAACATTGTCACAAAAAAGAAGCGTCAGCCGGTCCTTTGCTGCATTGAAGGCTTGTGCAGTTTTTTTGTCCTTTGCAATGAACGTGCACATGCCTTTCCAAAACAGGCGAATCTCGTAAGCGCTGAAGACCTGTTTAGGCGAATAATCCTTAATCAGTTTCTGCAGGTCTTCAGGATACTTTGAAGCTGCGTCCTGATCTGCTGATGCTGCCTCCACCAACTTCACATTTTGTAGGCCAAAGTGCTTCTTAAATTTATCAAACCAGCCATTGCTGCCATGAAACTTCAGGATCTCCCTCCCCCACACTTTCAATGAGATGCTTGTGAAGTCGTTTCGCCTTGTTGCAAATAACATGTCTACTAAGGCATTCATTTCTGTGTCTGGTCCTCGATCCAAATGTTTATTGCCTTTTCCATTTTTTTTCAATGTTCGGGTCATGAGGCATGTACAACACTCAACAATTTCCGATTGCCACTCGCAACACTGGCCTGATGGCTTACTAATTTTTAATCATAGTACGAATCGTAGATTAATTAACACCAAACACACACCCAACAGCACTGTTACTTTAACCTATAGTAAGCTTATCAAGAACTTTTATTTTGCCATCCAAAAGCATCACATTACTTTCCCTTTGGCAACACTCGAGGCACTTCTATTGCCAACACTTCCTCATACACTCAGGGGTCGTACTTGAAATGTATGCTAATGTATTAAAATAAAAAAATTTGGGGGTATTAAAATGTAATTTTTTGGGGATTTTTTTTTATCACTCGGTGGCACGTAATATTAGTACGTTATATTTAAGCACAAAACTTTAATACGCAAATCACAAACGTAACATTTCCAATAATTTTGTGAGACGGAGCGTGAATCTGACCGATCGCGGAGGTAGCAACATGGAGAAGAAAGAGGCTTCGGTAGCTCCAGACCCAGAGGTGCCTGTGTCTCGCGGGAGTCCGTGAGACGACATGGTGGATGCTACGTGGCGCGGTGCCAAATTTTGATTTGACGACTCAGCATATACTCAAACCGAGATGCTCGCGGTTGGTAAACGGGTATACCCACGTAAATCCGCGTATAGCCAAATTTCGCGGTCGGTAAATTTGTGGTTGGAAAAGGATTACTGCATACAGTGTGCACAATGATATATTATACATAGTGACATGTTAACCTGCATTTAGCTATGGCACAGTGTATGGTGTAAAGGCATACCTCTGCCGAATGTGTGGGGGTGTTACGTTCCTGGAAAATGTAGCGTTCCTGGTTCCAAAATGATCACCCCCCTTTTTGTTTAAATATTCTATTTTTCGGCCCTTGTTATTGTGCTCAAGGATGCTGAGTCGATCTCCATTTCTTGTGTGTGTATGCTCTTTATATTTAACTTCAACACAAAACCCTCATCTTCATTATTCTTGCACTGTGGCACTGACACCCAATGCTTGCCCCTAACACTGACTTCCCAGCCTGACGGTTGCCCCTGGCACTTAATTCCCAACCCAACGCTCCTGTATAACAGTCACCTGAAGGTTAATGATTCGCCATCTCGGTGTCCATATGACTGACATTCTCAATAACTGGAAGGCGAGTTCCATGCGGTAATACGTGAACATATGCGTTGTGTCATTGTGCGTGAGTATGCTGTGTGTTACGTAACACAAAAAACATACACGCAAAACATGGTAAATAAATCGTTCTCACAGTCTTTATTCACGCCTTCAAATGGATGTAGTACAATCACTGCACACCTTTTCTACACGGAAATGAGAATCTTAGCAGCGTCAAACTGCGTATAGCAAAAGCATGATCCCCGTATTTTGGAAAATAGACCTCATTACGTAAAGCGTATTTAGCTGAAACATGCGTTCGATAAAGCCACGTTGAGAGGTTTTCCTAATTGTTTTTTTACCCTTTTATCTGGCAAAAAAATAATAAATGATCATATTTTGCTATTGGCAAAGGAGGTTCCAATGGTGTAAAGGTTTTCCTGTTTACAAATGTACCATTATTTGTACATTAGAACGTTGCATACACAGATTATGGTGCAAACATGGAACGTATAAGAATTTGCACAATACACATGATTTGCAAGGTATTCTCGATAGTGTTTACGCAGCGTGTACACATTTCAGCGTACGCAATACACTCCCTAAACTTCCAGAACGGTTGTGAAGGATCCTTTCAGTTCCAGCATGCCCTTTCTCCTTACCCACCTGCTGAGAATATTCACCTGCCTCCTCCTTCGATGTGTGCAAATTTAACTTAACTTGAGCATGTGATAAATGCACAGCGAGCACCTAGTACACTTGCGCACATGTTACGAGTGTGTCAAATGCATATTACACATGCACTCATCGCACGACGGCAATGTCACCCCACGAATGGATCCTCGAAGTGGCGTGGCTTTAACAGGCGGTTGATGCGAAGATGACGGTGGATCGTCTCTGCTCTTCAAGACGCGACAACGATGTCTACATGAATCGAGAGCGCGGTGGCTTTTGTCTTTTAGTTTGTGAAAAAAACTTGACTATCAATAAAAGTTTCATCATTTCCTATGTCTGAGGTTTTTTTTGTGTATTCAACAACAACAGATATGGGAAAGTACAGAACCAGGTTACACGATGAGAGTGACTTAAAACCATCAATTAGCCCCTAATTGCAAAATTACCACAAAAAAGAAAGGATGGAAAGTGGTCAAATCAGAAACGAGTCCACCAAAGGAGATTAATTCTCGCTAGAAACCATTTGTGATTCCTGCGACAGTACCAACATGTTCAGGTGATTATTCTTTGGGTAAAGTCACGTATAAAGAAAAAATAATAAATTAAATAATAGCATACGACGTTTCGATTGCAACACAAGCAATCATCAGGTATAATGAAATAGCGACAAAATATAACCAGAAAAAATTATAGACAGACATAAGCAGACATATCACCAAGATACACAGAGAGAGTAACACAGGTACAGAGAGGGGTGATCGTCTCTGTGGGGTGGCCTTAAATAGACAGGGGGGTGGAGGCAGCGAGAGGGAGGGGCTAGAGA